ACACTTTTTCAGTTAAAACGCAAGATCTTGAACTTTCAGCTGATAATAATGTAGCAACGTGGGTTCATTATTTGTGGTGAATGTACCATAGAGACGTAAGATGATAATGATACCAACAGTGGAAACTGGGAGTGGGTATTTGGGCGCTCGGTACTATTTTTCCAATACTTCTGTAAATCTATGGCTTCTGAAAAAAAGCTTTATTTTTCAAAATGTGAGCTATCAAAGAAATTGTAGTTTCCTTCAAAGGTAGCTGGTATCCCTGGCAGGGGTGTGACAGAGGCAATGTTGAAAAAGCATTGCCCACTCCCTGTTGTTTGCAGAAGAACATTCCACAGCATCTTTAAAGGCCTGTATTTCTTAAGAGAAGAGCAAAAAAAGCAGAGTAGTACGGATGTTTTTTGCTCTCCCCTGGCCACTGTCCCCTTCATAGCACTGTGAGAAGAGTGACAGGCAAGTAACCACGTGGCCTTCCCCAGGTTCCCACCCCAGTGGAAGGGATTCTATCACCACAGACTATACCTCACCCTATTCCAGCCTCCATCACAATCCTTCAGGGCATGTTAGGCTTGCACACCCCTCAAATCATCTGGGTGGAACCCTAGGGAGAAGTAGTAAGAGCTCAGCCATTTATAGTAAGTCCTGGAGGGCTCACGTCCTGGCACCCAATGGGCACCACCCATTAGTGTTGGGGTAGTCAGGGGGGAATGCGGTGCCTCCTCACTCGGATGTACATTTAGGGCTCCAGACTCTATCCACCACAGAGACAGAGGGATGGAACTTCACAAGCTCGGGGCACATGGGTTTTGTTGCTTCTAAAGCAGAGGTGTCAAGCTCATTCTCACCAGGGGACACATCAGCCTCACAGATCCCTTCAAAGGGCCAACATAACTTTAGGATTTTACAAATGTAACCACTCCTTAACTGTTGAGGAGTTGAAATTTCATTAGGCCTGTAAAGGATTCTTCAGCCATTTAGAAAGTAGGTGTTGAAGTTCTACCTCAAGGTTCAAAGGGGGCTCAAGCTGCTGTTGCTCCAGACTGTGAAAGGACCAAGACTCAGATGTTCATTTATTTATTTATTTTAAATCCTGGCCCAAGGACACAATTATTGATTTTAGAGAGAGGGAGTGGGGCTGCAGAGAGAAATGTTGATGTGAGAGAGAAACATCAATTGGTTGCCCCTGCAACACACCTTGATTGGGGACCAAACTCGCAACCCAGACATGTGCCCCGACCAGAATAGAACCCCCAATCTCTTGGTTTATGGGAAGATGCACCAACTACCTGAGCCACACTGGCCAGGGCTCAGATGTTCTTCGTAATCTCTTGTCTCCTACTGTTTCTGTGCAGTGTAGAATGGGCAGCGGGGCTTGAAGTTGGGGAAAGTGGAAGAGAAAGAGAATAATCCAGAAACTATACCCTCTAGCTACACTTCAAACACTGTACTTTAATCAGGCTAGGAAATGGTTTCCAGAAACAGCTTCAGAACTGACAACCAAGAACTTAGATTTGAATGAGCAAGTTAAGGCAAGGTGATTTTATACCAGTGTTCATTTTTATCATCATTATATTGCTTGCCCAATATAATTTGGAGCTCCTATAATAATGATCTAGTTTTGGTAACAGGAAAGATGCATAAAGAGATAAGTAGAAAAAGCAGAGAGGAAAAGAGAATCAATATACAATGCTCTTTGGGGCTCGGCAGATAAAATAAAGGCTTCATGGAGAAGCTATGGCTTGAGTTAAACACTGGACTTGGACAAGACGGGTATGGGGCAAAGGGAACAGCACAGAGCATGCTGGGGAGAAAAGAGGAGGCTAGCTTGGCTAGAATGAAGAGCTTGGGTAGAGGAGTGATGTGTGATGGAAGACAGGGGAGGATAGGTAGAATAAAACCTTGGCTAAAACTTGAGACTTTGTCCTGCAGGTAGTGGGGAGCTGGGTGGTGAAACCTTCAGTGTAGAGGAGGGGTGGGGTGGAGACAGGTGGTGGCAGGGAGAGCAGTGAGAAGGGTGTGGTTGGAGCAAAACTGAGGTGACTTAGGGCAGAACAACAACAGGGGGAAGGCAAACAAGTGACAGATGCACAAGATTTGTGATGGATGAACTGATACATATTGGTGACTGAAGTGTGAGATGGGAAGGAAGAAAAAGAGAAAAAAGAAGAAGAAAAGCGCCCAGGATGACTCTTGCTAGGGAGGCCCTGAACCAGACCTAGCCCTTCAGTTTCCAACATTCTGTGGCTAATTGAAAAACTCATTGATACTAGTGGTGTCACTCAGAACCCCAATGTTATGCCAACCTCTGAAGCTGCCAAACATCCAAGGACTCCTCCCACTAGGGAAATACTTAGAGAAGACAACAGAGCCCTTTTGGTCTGCTGATGGAGACAGACAGATCATCCCAGACATTTTTCTCTTCCACAAACCCCTCCTCATTTTGAAGGGGGCCGCCTGGCACTGTTCCCATCCTTCCTTCCCCAGGGCCTGTGTTGCCCAGGGACACCATTCAGAGAAACTTTGTCATCTCTACACCCCATCCAGAGGCCTGGATGGCTTATGCCAGAGCACGGGGTTCCTCCCTTCTCTGAGATACAACAAATGGATGAGTTCCAGAGAGGGCAAACATTGGCATGTGGAGCCATGGTGGGAACAAGAAGTCTATTTGTTTAGTGTTCTTGGAAGCCAACAAGAAGAAACGTACTTTAGTCAGGAAAGAAAACAATAACCTGTCAAGCTGTGAATGACAGCCAAGTCAGTGGGACATGGGATGTCAAGCAGGAAGCTGAGGAAGGGACTGGCTAGGCCTCCAAGGAAGATGGCACCTGAAATGGTAGGGATGGCTGACAGGCCATGGCCCAGTGCGAGAGCTATGATCACCTCCCATGAACAGAGTGATCACTTTGTCACTGACTGTGATTGCCTCATCCATCAGGCAAAGGTTTAATGTGCAGCATGCACAATTCGACTTCTGGAATGGGATGGAAGAGAGCCAACCATGTCCAAAGTCAGCCTCATTTATAAACTGAATTCCTGGAAAGTGAATGAGTGTGTATGTGTATTCCCATATGCCAGGGATGGGATGGGCTTTGTCTTCATTAGGTACTTCCTGCTATTGCTGCCGCTGTTATTACTAAAATTTCTTGAAATCTCTATGCTGTTATATGAGAAGTTATTGGCTTTTTTAGCTGTTCACTGGACTTTCTGTCTTCCAGTCTCCATTTCTCAGGCCTATTTACCATTCCCTAATAGGGAGGCATCTAAGTGTGCTAAGCATATTTAACTAGTTTGAGATAAATCCATGAACACATGTCATCACATGTCAGCAGAGCTCTGAAAATACATATTAGCCATAGGACAATTACATGTCCACTGTGACTGCCTCCAGGGATGTTTTATGCCAAGAACAAAGGATGGACCATACTGATCTAGAGCTGACACATCCCTGCCTGTTACAAAAAGGTTAAACCTAGGACATATCATATCTTGTCATAACACAATCAAGACCCAGAGACAGTCAGACCAGCACACAAGAAAGCAGTATAATCCCATAAGGTCTTCCAGGATGAAGTTTCATCTTGAAAACCTTCAGAACCAACTAGGTCAAGATCCATATAAAGACAGAGCCTCATTAACCCAGAAGGGAGAGACTTGAAGAGCATGCTCCAAAATTTAGGGAATGTTCAAAGAAAAACAATGCTTGGCTGAGGGGTGGAAATGTCTTTCAAAAAAAAAAAAAAGAAGGAAAACAAAAAACAAGAAGAACCTGAAGTCCCTCACTTGTCTTTCTAGGCCAGCTGCCTTCTTCTGAAACACCCAACTCATTTGCCTGAACTCATCACACAGGAAGGAGCTTTTGACTACATTCCTTCAGCTGGAAAGAAGGGGCATATCTCTTTTTTAAGGTAAACCCAGGGATTTGGTTTTTGGTTGATGAATTTCAGACAGTCCCCCTGAGATTTTTCAGTCCAAAGTGTAATTGCATAAAGAGGCTTATATGTTAAATTGTCTGTCTATAAAACACATTTTCATGAAATTTTGTTTTCTCATACCCTTTTCATTTTCTTCCTGTATGGATCTGATGAACTTGAAATTTCAAAGTCATTCAGGTAGGACTAGTATATAACATTATACTTGTGCCTTAAATTAATACTCTCCCAGATATTGGTGTTTTTAGTGGGCCACCCAAAGGAACGCATGAAGTCACAGAATCCTAAAAACTATCTAAATGAACCTTCAATTTTGCAACTAGAGAATAGGCAGCACCAGAAGGTGAAGTGACTTGTGCAGAGCCACACAGTGACAGAGACAGAAACTTAATTAACCCACTGTCCTGAGGTCAAGTCCAGGTCTCTTCTCTTGTGGTCAAAAAATAGCAGTACTTTGAATATTATTGTTTAAAAAGTCAATGTTTTTAAATCACTTTATTTATCTATTTTTTAAGGTAAAGTTTTCTTCTTTTTTTACAGCTGAGTAGTATTCCATTGTGTAAATGTCCCATAGTTGGGTTTTATTTTATTGTTGTTCAATTATAGTTGTCCCAACTTTTAGAAATCACTTTAAATCCAAAAGATTAATCTATCGACTTCCACATGGATTGGATGAAATGTAAGGAAGGTATCCCATAGCAGTGACTAAATGAATGGGGAAGAGAGACATTTTATTTGTTTCTAATTTGAAGAGCAGTTCAGATTCCATTAGGGGCTTATGAGGGTCAGCCTCCTTGGGGTTTGCAGTTTTGCCTTCCATGATTGCATCAGGGCCATATATTTAACCTGGAAAAGGGTAAGAGGAAGATCTGCCTGACCCAGAGCCAGTGATTTTGCATCAACTAATCCCTGGTATTCTGTAGTTTCCTCATTCATCTGCCCAGAGTCACGGGGTATTCCCTGCTGAACCTGAGCCTCTCCTCCAAGCCAATCAGCTTCTCAAAACCATTTCCTCGGGGCCTTTCTCAGAAATAAATTCTTGTATAAGTTGTAAAAGACCAGTTCCTCCAAGGAGATCAATTGCCCTGTCTGCTGCAGGAGACCAAAGCATTTGGCAATTGGGCAGGTAAGAATCGATAACTTTAGTCTTTCTTGGTTTTTGCAAAGTTGATGATGAAATTTCCTAAAGGCTTCTCAGAAAGCTTAGTACTGGATTTGGACTTGGGCATTTTCTGGTGCCAGATTTGGCAGCCACTATGGGAGGTCATCCCCATTTGGTGTAAGGGAGAATGTGATTCAAAACCACTGTGGGGCAAGAAGGCTTTTCTGAGTCTGAAAACTGAGTCACAGAATCATAAACTCAGGGCTTCCAGGTATCACAAACTACCATAAACCTCTAACTCATTATGTTTAGAAAGTGAGGCCTAAGAGAGATCATGTGTTCAGGGCATACAGAAAGTTGGTGGGGGAGGATAGTAATGGAATGATGTTCTGTGTAGTATTCCTGAGACTGGTGTGGTGTCATATGAAAGTTCTGCAGTGTTTTCAAGGGTTTCCTAAGCCAGAGCGGTCAGATCTTCATGTTTCCAGCACCTCATGTCTGCTATCTACAGCAGACCTGAACATCTAGTTAGTCTTGAATGTCTAGTCCCAGGTGTCTTCAATGCCCCCTGGACAGCTGGCTCTCAATCAAGTGTATGAATTGCAACAATGTTAGATGAGTTCCATTTTGGGGAGAATCAAGTGGTTGAATCTTTTGTTTTTTTTATGTGATTGGGTGTCCCAAACCCTGTGACTGAGATAAAGGATTTTTTCTGCTGTAGATGGCTTGATAAGAGCTATCCCCACTCCATTCTCCTCTTGATCCCAGAGCTCCTCAGAAGGTCAAATAGAGCATTCTTGGGAGTTTTGGGGTGTTCATTGGTTTCCTACTGGCTCATTCACCTCCTTCAAAAGAACTCTTGCCATTCATGAAAAAGAATCCCTCTTATCACTGTCTTTCTCAGGCCTTCCTGCAGCCTCCTTAGTGATTTCTCAGCAAGTCTGAGAGCCAGACTCTGAAAGGCCTTGGTGTTCAGAGTGTGATCTGTAGACCAGCAGCATTGGCACACCCGGGAACTTGCTGGAAGTACAAACTCTTGGGCCCTTTCTATGACCTCTTGAGTCAGAATCTGCATTTAACATGGGTCCACAGGTGATTAGTAGGCACATCAAGGCATGAGAAGTCTGCTAAGGGACAAGCACTGTTGTCTCCCACTGCACTGTCCAGATACTGAACTCCTCTGCTCCAAGAGTTTCATTCATTCAGCATGTACCCAACACCTATTAAGTTCTGACATGAGGCTTGGCTGCTGGAAAAACAAAAATAAATAAGACATATCTCTTGAAGTGATAGGGGAAACAGATGTCAAAACAGTGATATGAGATCTGAGTAAAATACTATAGAAAGACAGGAAAAGAAATGACCTAAATTTGCCTGGAAAAGTCTGGTACACTTCACAGACAAGGTGGCATTTGGCTTGGGATTTTTTTAAAGTTGTTTAGTTTTTTTAATTATATTTTATTGGTTATGCTATTATAATTGTCCTGATTTTTCCCCTTTTGCTCCCTTTTGCCCAGCACCCCCCACTCCCTCAGGCAATCCCCACACCATTGTTCATGTCCAGGGGTCATGCATATAAGTTCTTTGGCTACTCCATTTCCTATACTATACTTTACATCCTCATGGCTATTCTGTAATTACTTTTTGTACTTCTTGATCCCCTCATTATTTTACCCACTCTCCTACAACTCCCTCCCATCTGGCAACCATCAAAGTGCTCTGTGTATCCATGATTCTGTCTCTGTTCTTGTTTGCTTAGTTTGTTTTTTAGATTTAGCTGTTGATAGATAAGTTTTTGCCATTTTATGTTCATAGTTTTGATCTTCTTCTTAAGTAAGTTCCTTTAACATTTCATATAACAATGGTTTGGTAATGATGAACACTTTTAGCTTTTTTCTTGTTAGGAAATCTCTTTATCTGCCCTTTGATTCTAAGTGCTATCTTTGCTGGGTGGAGCAGTCTTGGCTGTAGGTCCCTGATTTTCATCACTTTAATATTTCTTGCCAATCCCTTCTAGCCTGCAAAGCTTTTGTGTGTGGGGGGGGGGCGGGGGTTGAGAAATCAGCTAACAGTCTTATGGGAACTCCACTTTAGGTAACTGCTTTTCTCTGGCTGATTTGAAGATTCTCTCTTTAAACTTTGGCATTCTGATTATGATGTGTCTCGGCATGGGGTTTCTTTGTATCCATCTTGTTTGAGACTCTGTGCTTCCCAGTCTATTTCCTTTACCAATTTAAGAAAGTTTTCTTTCATTATTTTTTGAAATAGATTTACAATTCCTTGTTCTTTTTCTTCTCCTGGCACCCCTGTGATGTGAATGTTGGACATCATGAACTTGTCCCAGAAGCTGCTTATACTATCCTCATGTGTTTGGATTCTTTTTTTCTTGTTATTGTTCTAACTGGTTGGTTTTTTGCTTCCTTATGTTCCAAATCATTGATTTGACTTTTGGCTTCATTCACTCTATGGTTGTGTCCCTATAAAGTTTCTTTATTTCAATTAGTGTATTCTTTGTGTCTCCTTGGATCTTTTTTATGCTGTTGAGGTCCTCACTAAGTTTCTTGAGCATTCTTATAAACAGTGTTTTGAACTCTGCATCTCATAGACTGCTTATCTCCATTTTGTTTAGCTCATTTTCTGAAGTTTTGATCTGTGCTTTCATTTGGGCCACCTTTCTTTGTTTTCTCATTTTGGCAGCCTCCCTGTGTTTGTTTCTATGTATTAGGTAGAGCTGCTTTGACTCCGTGTCTTGCGTAGGGTGACCTAATGGAGCAGGTGTCCTGCAGGATCCAGTGACAAAGCCTCCCCTATCACCGAAGTTGGGTACTCAAGGTGCACCCTTCATGTGGGCTGAGTACACCCTCTTCTTGTAGTTGAGCCTTGGGTGCTGTTGGCGAGTCAATGGGAGGGATTTACTCAGGCCAGTCAGCTGCAAGGATTGGCTGTGACCACTGACCACCCATCTCTGCCCTCCATGGAGGATCAGTTGTGCAGCGGCAGGGTGATGGTGCTCTGATGTGGTCTGTACCTATACTGGGTGTGTTGGTCCTGGGGTTTCCCGAGTGTTGTAGACCAAGGTCAGTCACCACCCATGTTTTGCCTACCTGAGCTATAAAGCAATCTGAGATGGCTGCTACTTGTGCTGGGCTTAGAGATTCCAAGGCAAAGCCAAGCTGTGAATCTAGGCTTTCTGTTGCTAGTGCTGGGCCTGGGGCTCACTTAGGGTAGCTGTTGCTTGTTGGAGAGGATTTAGGAAGTTGTGAAGCAAGAGCCAAAACCAGCCATTCATGTGGAAAAGGAGCTCAGGTAGAGCAGAGTCTCTGGGGATCTCCAAAGTGGGTTAAACAGTATTAGCTAGGTTGATGGAGTCTCAGATATGGCACCAGCTTGACAGCTCTGTGGCCCTGTGGGGGAAGTATTTAGAAAAGGAGCAATGGCCTCTGCTCACCTTGATGCTAGACACTCAGTTTCTCCCTGTATGCCACAGGTGCTTTTCAAGCTGCTACCCTGGTGCTGGAGCTCAGAGTGAGTGAGTCTGAATAGGTGAGTCCATGTGTGGGTTCTTTAAGAGGAACTGCTTGGGGCTCCAGCAGTTTCTTCTACCAACTCAATCCCTGCTGGTTTTTGCATCCAGAAGTTGTGGGGACTTATCTTCCTGGCATTGGGACCCTTGGCTGAGGGGCCTGGTGTGGGGCTGCGATTCCTTGCTCCCGAGGTATCCCTCCCAAATTTTTATCCACCACACGTGGATGTGGGACCAGCCCAATTTGCATTTGCACCCCTCCTACCAGTCTGGGTAGATGTGGTTTCTTTAATTCCATAGTTGTCAGACATCCCTTCAACTTGATTTCTGATGGTTCTGAGTGATGGTTGTTCTATATTTTAGTTGTAATTTGGATGTGGTTGTGTAAAGAGGCAAGCCATGTCTGCCTATGCTACCACCTTGACTGGAAATCTGGCTTGGGTTCTGAAGAATGAATAAGAGTTTATCAGGCAGAGAGTGTGTTGCATAGGAAAAGAACATGAATAGAGGCAGAGGACTGTAGGCCAGCCTGCCATTTGAAGGGCAGAGGTCGGGCCTCTGCCTCTATGTACTGTCATGTTCCAGGGAAGGCACTGGGCCTTGCCACCAGTTGAAGAGATTCAAAAATGGTTTCTGCACTGAGCATGATGATAAAAATGTAGGTGAACATCCAAACATCACAGAAGCCTCTTTTTGGACTCATTCTCTGAAGCGCCATTTCTTCTACCCTCTGCCCTGCTTGACTCTGGCTGCAGCTACTGCCCTCCAGGATCTTTCTCACAGTCCTTTCCTGTGGCCTGACCTTGCATTTGCCTGGCTCTGCTTTCTGTCTCACATCTTTTCTTTATCCCGACCAGGAAAGTTGACTAACACATGGAAAATAATTTAGTTTTGACCTTGAGGTATGCCCCCTCCAACTATTCAGTGAAGGGAGTATGAAGGCTGTTCCAAGCATAAGAGAGAAGAAATGAGTATGCAATTTTTTATTTCCTGTGCAGTTTTCTCAACTCTGATGTCTTTGGCTATGATGTTTTTCTCTTCAGTCTAGCTCATGTGATGCCTTTTTTTCATAGACTAATATTTTATTTGTTTTTATAATGAAATACATTAATTATTGAAAGAATAGTATAATGAATACATGTGTGCCCACCTGCCCTCTTTAAAAAAAAACAATGATAAGATGGTTGCTGGAGGCTAGCAAGAGGGGGAAGCAGGAGTTGGTGTTTAGTGGATATAGAATTTCAGTTTTGCAAGATGAAATAATTCTAGAGATCTGTTGTACAACAATGTGAATATACTTGTCACTACTCCACTGTATGGTTAAAATGGTTATGATAATATATTTTATGCTATGTGGTTTTACCACAATTAAATGTGTGTCTGTGTAAATGTGTGTGTGTATTATTATATATAATATATTTGTACATATACATATATATTACATATATAATACACATACATACACATACATTATATACCAACAATACCTTTTACTCTAAAATCATTATCTTTGTTAGCCTGAAAAGGCACGTGTCTGCTGGCTCAGTGGTCTCCTCGAGTCACAGAGGGAAGGATTCTAGTTGGTTCTGCCTGGGTCCATATAGGTATAAGGACAGGAGCCCAATGAGGGTCAAGCCCCTTGAGAATTCCTCTTGGGAAAAAAAGTGCCAGGGAGGAGGATCTTGGCCAGGGAAGTATTTACTCATACTTTTCCTTTTTTCTAGAGTTAGCTTATCAAAAGCACATTCATCAAGATAAAAGGTATTAGGGAGATCATAAAATGGCAGAGGAAAAGACTGGGGGAGTGTGAGAGAATGAGAAATTACCTGGTCCAGAAACACAGTTCTCCTTTTGTGGTCTGGCCTAACCCAAGGGGAGATTATCCAGAGCGGATCTGAAGACTGCCTGGGTGATCTGTCAGGCAAAGCTCCAGAACCATGCTGTCCCCTAGGGGAGCTTCAAGTACATATGGAGGGGACAGCCAACCTTAGAATGTCCTCCTCGCCATGTTTCTGGAGTCCACCAGTGAACGCACACTGAGGGGTGACCCTGTGCTCTCCTGGGAAAGCTGAGGGTCTGCCAAGAGCGTCATCTAAACACGTGATCATTCCATCTGCACAGGGACACCTGCCTGGCTGAAGCTACAATCTCCTCAGAAGATATCTGGGGTCTATTCCACCAAACCTAATGAATACGCTAAGCCCCTAAGCCCCTCATCAGCAAACAGAGCCACAAAAGTTTTAGTCTGATGGTTTAGGTTCAGAGTTCAAGCTCCTGAGGAAGGAAGTTGGGATCTCTGCAGGCAGCCTAAGACACAGCTGTGGGCTTAGGGAGTCGGGGCTTTGCCACGGTGTTCCTTCCTGTGTTCCCATCAAATTGGCTTTTGGAGGGAGGGTGAAGCCCCTGCCATTTCTGAAGGCAGGAACTGAATGTCTGCTTCTAGGGCACACTCCCCTGGCGCTGAGCCAGAGCAGCAGTGTTTGCAGGGAGCAAAGTATCCTGCAGGGAAACCCCACAGACCTGTTCCAGGTTTGGTAATAGCATTTCTCCCCAAGACAGGTGGCAAGACAGGCACAGGATCTTGGCTCACAGGCAGAATCAGAAACCTTGGATCACTCCATCCAACCCTCCTCACTTGACAGGCCAATGGCCCAGAGATATTGAGCAACCTGCCCAATGTCATAGAGCTAGTTAGAGCAAATCAGAACTACAACTCGGGACCTGCAGATGCCAAGGCCTGAGTTCTTTCCCTCCCACTGCCTCCTTCTAGTACCTAGCGTGGGCCTGCACTTAAAGCAGAGTCTTAGTTATTGTAGCTTCCGCTGAACTGTTCTAATGTTAGGGCATCTGGTATCTCCTTTCTGTGACTCAGTCCCTCCCATGGGGGCTCTGCAAGGCCCACACCATGATCTGGATCTTGTTTCAGCAATGTGGGTCCTCCTCCGTGTCCCAGGGCTCCTAGCTTCCCTGACCTTGCTCCACGCTGCAGTGTCTGTCACATGTGGTAAGTGTCTCCCTGTATTGCTTTCCTGGGGCTGCTGTAAGAAAGGGCCACAAACTAGTTGGCTTAAGACAGTAGACATTTTTTCTCCTACAGTTCAGGAGGTTGGAAGTCCAAAATCAAGGTGTCGGCAGGGTCATACTCCTCTGAAGGCTCTAGAGGAGACTCCCTCCTTGCCTCTTCCAGCTTCCAGTGGCTCCTGGCCATCCTTGGGAGTCCCTGGCTCACAGCTGCATCACTCCAGTCTCTGCCTCTGCCTTCACATAGCCTTCTTCTCTGTAGCCTCTGGGTGTCCTCCCCTCTTGTTGTAAAGCCACCAGTCAGAGGATTTGGAACCCACCCTAATCTGTACCTGTATAACCTTATTTTAATTAATTACGGCTACAAAAACCTTGTTTCCAAATAAGGTCACATTCTGAGGTTCTGCGAGCACCTGTATTTTAGGAGCACACTACTTGACCCACTCACTATGCTCCTCTTGTTCAGAGAATGCATCCTGCCCACCCCACACCCAGACCCCAATATGAGTGCAAATGAGCAATCCCACCTCTACCCTACACCATCCTCTCCCTACTTCAGGGCCCTGGTGGTCAGCTTAGTCCTTGCTGGACTTGCTTAAGGGTCTGGCTCACTAAGAACCAGAAAAAGCCCCGCAGCCCAAGAGCCTTAGCCAACCTGAACAGCCACACACCTTCTTAATTCCATCACTGGGAATTCCAGTGGACTCCCCAAAACCAGTTTTGACACCTTATGGAGGATCATAGAGCGTTCTTCCCATCCTGTGCTTTTTGTCCTTGAGGACTCTTGTGAAAATTCCCTAACCTTGATCTTTTGCCTGCTCAGATCTGGGGGTTGGGGGTGGATAATGGCTGAGAAAGAGGGAGATGGAAGCAGAGGACATCGCAAAGGAGTGGTGTCTGACACCCTGCTGCTTATTTCTCCCGCTCCAAGCACAGTCCACCAGCACTGCTGCCATCTCTGATACTGTGAGTGAGGTCAAGGCCCAAGTCAGCAAGGCCTTTCTGGAATCTCGGACCAGGTACGTGAGACACACACACACAACACATTTCCCTTCCTAGGCTTCCTGTTAACGACAAACACATCTAGGCCAGCCCTGATAAGTCAAAGAGCTGAAGCAGCTACACAATCTGCCGACCCACCTCCCCACCTCGGAGCACTTGGCAAGCAGGAGTAATAGCCCACAGCTCCTAAAGTCCTCATCCTGTGGGTAACTTGAAGAGGATGTCTAATCTAATTCTGTAAAAACCTGCAGAGGTCTCAGTCAAAAGAATATTAGGATAGGTTGAATATCACACACCCTTATGAAACACGTGTTATAACCAAACTGATGGCTTAAACGTTATGGGTTAGCATTAGCCATGTACAAACACCCAGGTAGTCATGACCTTGAACCTATGCATCTGATATATGTACCAATATTTAAGAAAAGAGTTTCCTTGTATCTCTCAGATTAGCCGTGACCTCCCCAGGGGTAAGCACTTCCTTCTGCATGGCCCATGTTTCCTTGGGTCATGCATTCCAGTCTCAGAAAGCCTGTAGGTGGAAGTTCTCCATTGATTCAGCTAATACTGACTAACTTAGGTCAGGTCCTAGAAGTGGAACTGAGACCTGGGTTCACATGCAGTTGACTGACTGGGGAGTGCTCTCAGGAAAGCTATGATGGAGGGAGGGAGCAGAGAGGTGAAGGAAGAAGCTGAGCAAGGATGTGGTTTAAGGTCTAGCCTCAGCTGACCCTAAAGGGAGACCTGACACAGCACCAGCCACCACTTCTTTCCTTCAGGCTCGCCGAGAAGGTATTAATAGCCAACCACAACTCCGGGACACCCAATGGGGCCTTCCTCTTTTTTTAAAAAAATTATTTTATTGTTGTTCAATTACAGTTGTCTGTATTTTCTCCCCACTCCTCCCCCACCCCCTACAAACCCACCTCCCTCCCTTGCTTCCACCCTCCCCCTTGGTTTTGTCCATGTGCCCTTTAGAGTAGTTCCTGAAAACCCTTCTCCCCTCTGTCCCCTTCCCTCTCCCCTCTGGCTATCGTTAGATTGTTCTTATTTTCAATGACTCTCGTTATATTTCATTTGCTTTTTTCTTTTGTTGATTATGTTCCAGTTAAAAGTGAGATCACATGGTACTTGGCCCTTGTCATTAGTATTAAAGCAAAGAGGAAGCTTCTCATGGTGGCAGGAGGGAAACAGCAGGTATTCCAGCAACTATTTCCCAATGCAAATTCTTCCCCCTCCTCAATGTCAGCCCTTTCATAGCCCTGAGCTGGCGTTAGAATAAGAGCAACAAACCCAGTGTTCATCACCTCCTCTGCAAGTCATGCACAGGACGACCAGCCCTGCTTTGGAACTTGTCCTCACTGGTGAGTTCCTGGGCTTGGGGGTCTCATGGAGACATAAAGGATCACATTTAAACAGCTTGTTACACAAACACACAGACAATGCAGGAACTCTTCATGGAATGAAGGAATAAACAGAGCACTGGTTGCTCCTCCTGGTACAGGAATCAGGGAAGCATGATGGAGGAGGAGGAGCCAGCCCTGCAGAGGGATGGTATTCCAGGGCCTGGGAACAGCAAAGGTAAAGGTCCTGGGGCAGGAAAGAGCTTAGGGTGCTCAGGAAACAGAAAGAAGGCTGATGTTGGTGAAGGCAGTAGGCAGGGAGGAGCACACACAAGTGAGCACAGAGAAGTTGACAGTAAGGGCCATGGGGTCAGAAAGCAAATTAGGGGATGCTAGGGGTTGGTGGGGGAAGAGGAGAAGAGGAGAGGAATTGGAAGTGACTGCTTAATAGGTATGGGGTCTTTTCTGGGGAAGATCAAAATGTTTTGGAGCTAGAAAGAGGTAATGATTGCACAATATAATCTGCATGCATGCAGCAAACAGATGGACTCATGCATGTCCCAGTGGAAGACAAGGAATTCCTTTCCTCAGAGGATGGTGCTACAGAACAGACAGAACAGAGGCCAAGGGTGGGGGCAATTGGTGGCCCACCCAGGGATGCCAAAAACTGTTACAGAACATGCCCACCCACAGGGACAAGGGGGGTTACTATTTACTATTACTGAAAGGACCCTCAGGTTTGTTATGTGCACCACCTTACAGGAAAGACATCTCTCAATGCCAGAGATTTGTGAAAAGGAAAGGAAATGTTTATTTAATGCTCTACAGACTGAAAGTAGTGCCCTAATGTATTCACTAAAATATCAAAGTCCTTTGGGATAGCCACTGATGCCCACAGTGCTTCCTTCTCCCCTGTCCTAATTTGGGGTACCGTAACGCCAGAAAAGAAGCAAACATGCGTGTCTCAGGCCACAGGCACCATCAGGTGTGTCGCCGTCCCAGGCAGGACCTCTAGTCCAAAGCCATGTGGCACCTTCTCGTGGCCTACTGGTGAGAGTTCTTCAGACTTCTTCCAGGCAAAGTCTCTCCTGCTTCCCAAGCCACACAGTGAAAGGGAGCACACCCAAAGCCATGTGGTCCTCTTCTACCAAAGCTGCAGGGGTCCCCACTCTGGCCAAAACCACATGGTTCTTCTGTCCACCAAAGCTGTGGCGGTCCCCACTCTGGCAAAACCTCGTGGCTCTCCCTTACATGGCTGCAGGGGTCCCCACTCTGCCAGAAGCGCGTGGCTCTCTCCTCTATTGGCCACAGCCACATGGTTCTCTCTGCACTGCCACAGCCCCGTGGTCCTCTCTCCAATGTCTTTGGCCTCTGGGTTTAAATCCCCATGCCAATCTCCTCTGCAGCCCCATTTCCAACTCTTCCCACAACCGGCTACACTTGCCAGCACTCTTATGTCCTTCCAGCTTTACTGGGCTGCCATAGTAAGTCTGGGCAGGTGTGGCCCCATGTCATGGAGCCAATCTTCTCCAAGCTCTCATGCAGGCACTGTAATCAGGGGAACCTGCCCCCCAGTTACATCGTGGGTGGAAGTCCCTCCCTTCTCCCTGGCTCAAAGCATGGTCACAGCTATTTAACATATCTATGTAGCAAGTTAAAGGTTATAGATATGTTAAATGACCATGCCAGAGGTTAGCTGCAAAGTTGTTGCTATGCAAAACAGCTCTCAATGGCCCTGCTGCATGTGTCCCTTTGCCAAACTCACACCTGTTGGGGGGAGGGGTGCGGACATCCCAATATTTCTTGGACACCTTGAGTTCTGTAGCCCATTCCAAATCCCTATTTGGGCCCCCCCTCTTGGCTGCACCCTGTAATAATGGCATGGTCTGAATTTCATTCTAGAAAGCTCACTCCATCAGCCATATAGTGAATGGATGGAAGGGGGATAGGAGCGGAGATCCCAGTTAGGAGGTGGCTATGGCCCTCCAGATGGTCCAGGGTGGTGGCTAGGATGAGGGCGGAGGCCTGGAGGTGGAGAAAGAGGCCCTCCAAAGCCCTGCCTGCTCCCACAGAGTCCATCCCCAAGGATGGCCAAGCAGGAGGTAAGTCCCCACTGAGTCAGTGCAGGCAGGAGAACCACAATGAGCGTCAGGGGTTCTCTGGTCTGAATCTGTGTGTCCTGGGACACCAGTGTTTTCAAGACTCCCCAGCCAGTCCTGTTGCAGCCAGCACAGCCGCAACCCTCTGATTCTAATTCAGGCAGCGCTCACGTCCACCTGCCAGCCTTTCCTTAGAACCAGACCTAGCAAAGCTTCGAGACACACAGCATCTTCCTCCCCCCACAACAGATTTTCCAGAAGACAACGGAGAAAAGATCCTGAGAGCGCAGGCCCATACCCTCGTGGTCTCATGATACACACTCCACCTCCACCCCTTCTGCAGGGTCAGAGCCCCAGGGGCCAGGTCATGAGTCCCCCTTTGTCTCCACTGTAGGCTGACGACTGCCATGAGCTCTGAGGCACCCAACATGCGACAGCTCTCAGAGTACCTCAAGCATGCCAGGGGCTGGACGCGCACGGCCATCCGCAACGGGCAGGTGTGGGAAGACTCCTTAAAGAGACTGAGGCAGAAAACGACTTTGACCAATGTTACAGGTACAGAAAACCCCCTAGCCCTTTGATGGCAGGAAGGGGTCGTCTCCTGGCAACAGAAGGCAGGAGCCACCAAAAGTTGTGTTCCCTATGAGGAGCCACCTCCTCGGAGAAGCACTCCTGCCTCTCCCTTCTTAGAACTGCAAAGCAAGGAGCAGCTGAGAGGACAGCTAGGAAAATGCTCTTTTTGTTTTCACAGAGAAAGGGACTTAAAGTCCAGCAAGGTCACACTGTCGACTCCAAACAAGGGGACATTCATGCTCTGGGTAGAATACCGTCTGTAAGGCCTCTATCCAGAGGAAGTACTACAGTCAATAAACAGGCTCCCTGTTCCAAACTACATTTCACCACTTTCTGCCCAGGAAGGGGACATTTAAGTCTGACATGTGCCCACCTGCCTCCAGTCAGCACGGAACGCTGTGGATGGTTCATCGAAACACGAGAAAAACATACACAGAGACAAGCAGGTCCCGTGGGGGAATCAGGACAGCAGGGCCACTCCTCATGTGGGGAACGCCTAGTCCCCCTGCACAAGCAGGGTTTTATTCTTGAATACCAATACAGTTTGCAAATTACAAGTAGTTAGCTTTTGAAAGGTGCTGGCAGACTTCCTACTGGGATCCTAAGCCTGAGATTTGGGGGTTTTATCATTTAAAAAGACTGCAGGACTTAAAGCTTAGTTCTGTTTCCTGCCCATGACTTCACATTCTAATTAAAGAGCATCCTCCAGCAAGCAGATCTCACAGGGTCTTTCATATTCTATGTCTCAGGCCTCATTACCCCGGGGGTCCGCTGTTTCTGGTCTGGACTGTACCACCCCTGTTACTTCCAAGGGGCCTGAGTTGGGCAGAGGAGACAAAGGCAGCTGGCAGACGGATTTCTCAAAGGCTCAGGCATTGGCAAAATTGGTGATTGATGTCCATCACCCCGTTATTTCCACAGCCCCGTGAGTCTTGTCTCTGTCATTCCTTCATGAATGAGTCTGTCTTAGATTCATTCTCTATCCAAGAGAATTGTTACCCGTCCTTGACTGCTGTTCAAGCATGAAAGGGAATGAGGCATATGAACAGGCAGCGTTCATGCCAGGGAAATAAGTTTTGTCTCTTTAGCGCCTCCTGGTTCAGAGGCCTCTTACTCAGCCATAGTCCCAGCGTGGGGGGGGGGCGGGGGGGCGGTTACAGCTTCCTGAGACCAGGCAGGGCGGTCCTCAACATAAGTCACCTGTGTCTGGGGCATTTACTGGGCTTGTACCACAGGAGGTGAGATTTCCGACTTCTGAGTAAAGTGGAGCTGAAGCAGCGGGCTGATGGGCTGATCAGGGCTTGCTCCCAGCCCTCCACGCCTGCCCCTGCCAGTGTCACAGCTCCTGGGGAATCATGGAGGGAGGGGTCTGGGTCTGAGCAGAGCAAGAGGTTGCCGGTTGCCCCTGCTGGCACATCCAGTGAGAGTAGGTATGTAGCCCAGGACTTGGGCGAATTCCAAAGTTCCAGAAGAAGGAACCTGGGACAAGGTAGGAAGAAGTAGGCAGTGCTTTGGACTCCAAGATTCAAAGGTGTGGGGGGACGAACCCCAGCCCCTGCCAACTTTCACAGATGGTCCCCCTGAGGAAGTCCCCCGGGGCTGGACTCCCTCGCCCATCTTGCTCCTAGGTGCCGTGTTGGGTCACAGGCTGCATCGGGAGTGTGCAGCTCTGTCCGTTCTGTGCCCACGGGCAAGCCTCCCAGGCCTCAAGGCCCCACCCTGTTGCTCCTCCCAAGACCACAGTGCCCCTGACTTTGAAATGACCTGTCCCTCCCCCAACACCTTTCCTATCTAGGTTCCTGCTTGTTTAGTGCTTAAGATGTCAGTGAAGCTTTAGAAGACAAGCAATCTTATCTCAGGGGTACTTTTATTCTAAAAGAAAGATCTATTATTCAAATGACCTGATAGACAAAGAATTACTGACCATTCTGGGGCCTTGCAAAGTTCTTACCTGTGGCCTTGGGCAAGTCTCTCCAGCACTGTGGCGTCAGTTTCATTGGGAATTTAAATTCTTTCCTTAATGAGCTGTCAGGATGAAATGAGACACCACCTCAGAAATGCTTGCTTAGAACACAGAACATAGGCCCCCAAATTTGAGTTCCTCCCTGGTTTCCCTTCCCTGCCTGCCCCCAGTGCCTCAGAATGGAGAAAGAGCTCAGCCCCACTGGTGTCCCTTCCGTTTCAGACCCGAACCTGGACTTGACTGCACTCTCTCGGGAGGTGGGCTGTGGTGCCCCGGTGCCTGTGGTGAGATGCGACAACAGCTCTTACCGCACCATTACAGGAGACTGTAATAACAGGCGAGTGGGCTGGGGCGGCTGTGGGGGGCAGACCTCACCAGCGCCACGCCCCCCCTCCCCACCGCAGAGGCCTTACCCTGCCCGTCTGCCCCGCCCCGCCCCGCCCCGCCCCGCCCAGCCCCTGGTGGGCGGGGGGGTTCGCAGCCTGAGCATTCCAGACAGCACTCCCACTGCCTCACCCTCCTAAACTTGGCGCCCACCAGAATCCGTCCTGTTGAAACCCTCCCCCCCCAACTCCCCCACTTTCTAAAGAGACCACTGGTTCCCACCGGGAGCAGCACCTTCCCCAGGGCAGGGAGCCCCGCACCTTCAGGGGGTGGGGGTAGTTCAGAATCCCCGCATTGGAGAGGTGCCTCCTCCGCGACCCCAGGACCCCAGTCGCTGGGCAGAGGCTCCTGGTCCTTCCCCGTGGGATCCTCGTGGGATTTGCGGAGAAGCCATCCCCGGAGTAGACTGGCGGAGGCTGAGTGCGATCCTGTCCGGCTTCAGGAGGAACCCTGAGCTGGGCGCCGCCAACAGGGCGCTGGCGCGCTGGCTGCCCGCCGAGTACGAGGACGGGCTCTCCCTGCCCTTCGGGTGGACGCCGGGAAAGACGCGGAACGGCTTCCCGATCCCGCTGGTGAGGCCGGGCTGGCGGTGGGGGGTGAAGGATGGGAGTCCGAGGGGACGGGATGCACTCTCTGCACCCACAAAACGAGGACGAAGAGCTAGGTGAAAGGACAGAGGACGCGCGGGGCAGCGGCTTCAGGAGATGGACATTTGGACTTGCTGCCGGGCGATGATCCCCAAACTGCCACGAGAGGGCGGCAGAGCTCGGGGCCAGCCAGGAGTCCAGCCAAGTGGCTGTCACATCCCAGTTGCCCACAGGCCAGACCCTCCTAGGGCAGATGGCCTCCCCATCCCATCCTGCTCCTGCTGACCCCGCCCCAGCCCCTGGAGCGCATCAGCTGTCCCTTGCCTGGAGGTCCTATCTGCTGGCTTCATCTGAGTTGGCAGGCCCTCCCCTGAGCCCCTCTCCTCTTCCCAGACACCTGGCAGCTCAGTGGCACTTCAGAGGCAGGCTGTCTTTGTTTCCCCTGTCCATAGTGGGAGGGCACCGGCCTTGCAAGCCTTCGAGTCACACAGACCTTCCTTTAATCCTGTCCTTGCCCTTTTGTAGCTGACCTTGGAGAACTGACCTCACTTCTCTAGGACTCAGTCTCCTCATCTACAAAGTGGGATAATGCCAAGCGCCTCACAAACTTGTCACAGGGATTAAATAAATGTGCCTGTTACATTGTAGGTAAAAACTGCAGTTGAACCTGACTCCTCAAAGCACATTTTCCTCCAACCCTCCTGCCCCTTCTTTCTCCTGCAGGCCCGTGAGGTATCCAACCAGATTGCAAGCTATCTGAGTGAGGAGGGTGTTCTGGACCCAAACACATCCCTGCTGTTCATGCAGTGGGGTCAAATTGTGGACCACGACATGGATTTTGCCCCTGACACTGAGCTGGGGAGCAGCGAGCACTCCAAAGAGCAATGTGACAAGTACTGTATCCAAGGAGGCAACTGCTTCCCCATCATGGTAGGCCCTGCACCACACGTCCCTGACCAGCCCGGGCCACCCTCATGGGGCAGACATTTCCAGCCTGTCCGCCAGGGTCTCTAAGGAGACCTTGGGTGCTGATTTGACAGCTTCCCACTCCTCACATGTCCGTTCATTCACTCGTCCTTTTATTCAGCAAATAGACATTAATCATCTACTTCATGCCAGGCAGTGCACTATGTGCTAGGGATTCAAAGACAAATTAGACACTGTTTCTCCCCTCGAGGACAAAGGGCCTGCATGGGAAATGGACAAGGAACCTCTAATGGCAGAACTGGGATGCTCTGGGGAGGGTTGTCCATGTCCCCAGCCAGCAGCATTGGCGCCACGTGAGGACTTAGGAGGAGTCTTAAGCCTCCTCCCAGACATTGGGAAACAGGACCTACACTTTCCTAGGAGATGCATTTCACACGCAGTAAGGTCTGTGGAACCCTGCTGTAATAAGTCATCCTGGGGTCTGGGAAGAGCTGAAACTTGATGGAGAAATCAGAAATTGTGGGAATTTCCAGCAGGAAGGGAGAGGAACTTGCACTGGGGCCCCTTGGTTCTTATTCATGGACTTTAGGGTTAGCAAGTGATGTATTCACTCAAACAGCAAGCAAGTCAAGGCTACGTGCTGAGGTGTGAAGAAACCGAGCCGTAGATTCAGGCAAACCTGGATTTGATTCCCACATCTTTCCCTTCCAGTTTGTAAGTTTGTGGGCAAGGTACTCAACTCGTTTGAACCTCAGTTTTCTCCCTGTAAAATGGGACTCAATTAGCTACCTTACAAGGTTTTGTGAGGTCCAAAGTGAGAAATTATGCAGAATGCCTACCACACAGTAGAAGCAAAACACATACGTGGTAGCTGCTGTTGGTAGTAATTATTCACAAACCCTTCCCTATCTCCTGCTCTGCTTCCCTGTCCAGGGATCTCAGGGCTCTCACTCCACCAAAAATGTGAAGCCCTACCTCTGGAAGATTGGCTGACTCCCCTCAGTCCCTTTACACAGTGGGATGTAATGAACTTCAGGGTATAGTGGGCTCAGGATGTGTAGCATCAGCAGGAGGTGTCTAGAGTTGGTGTCTGATACTAGGGTCCCAGGAGGACACCATCAGCATCTTTGCCAGCTTCACCCAGATCTGCCCTGGGGAGAGGTTGCCAGGGCCCGGCTGTACCACCTCTGCCCAGTCACCCACCCCCAATCTCTCTGCAGTTCCCAAGCAAGGACTCTAAGGTGAAGACTCAAGGGAAGTGCATGACTTTCTTCCGAGCCGGGTTCGTCTGCCCCACTCCACCCTACCAGACCCTGACCCGAGAGCAGATCAACGCTCTGACCTCCTTCCTGGACGCCAGCTTTGTGTATGGCCCCGAGCCCAGCCTGGCCAGCCGCCTCCGCAACCTTAGCAGTCCCCTGGGCCTCCTGGCTGTCAACCAGGAGGTCTGGGACCATGGGCTGGCCTACTTGCCCTTTGACAACAAGAAGCCAAACCCCTGTGAGTTCATCAACACCACCGCCCACGTGCCCTGCTTCTTGGCAGGTGAGTCTAGGGTAGGAACAGAGGGGCCCAAGGACCAGGGGGTGGAGAGCAGAGGGAGGCCAGAGAAACCTCATGAGGCTGCTGGGCAGCTTCCAGGGACTTCTCATCATCTTCTGGAAAAACGCGCACCAAGCCACCACTGCCTCTGGCACTGGTTCAGGACTGGCAGAAGGGTCCAGATGAATACAGAACCTGAGAACAGGTGTTCACTGTAAAAAACAAAAAAGGTAAGGGAGACCATAAAAGCGCAAAGAAGATCAACAAAACCCCACCACCCACAGAAAATCATTGCTAACATTTTAATGCCTATCTTTCTAGGTTTTTTTCTATCACAGTTCTATATCATTTTATATCATCAGGATTATGTAATAATGCTCTATAGCCTCTATGTCGTCACTTGGTACATCACTTACATACTCTTCTACAACATGATTTTTAATGGCTGCCTGGGGTTACGTGACATATATTACCACAATTTATTTTATCAACCTTACTTGGAGACATTCAAGTCATTTCTAGTTTTTCTGTGATTTGTTGTTGTTGCTTTTAGGTTATAAACATCCTTGTTGATGATTTTTTGTGCTCATTTTAATAATTTTATGAAGATAACTTCCTACTTCTGGCCAAGATGGAGGTGTAGGTAGACACCATGTGCCTCCTCTCACAACCAAAATAAGAAAAACAATTTAAAAACAAAGTAACCACGAGAACTGGGAGAAAATTGATCTGTATGGAGGTCCGACAACCAAGGAGTTAAAATAGACACGTTCATCCAGACAGGTAGGATGGGCGGAATCGGGCAGCAAGGGAGAGAGTAGTCATGGTACAAAAAAGCAGTGGCGCCGGGCACGCAAGACAGAAGTGGGCAGACCACGGGCACACAGGCGGCAGCTGGCAGACCCCGGGTGTGGAGTGGCAACGGGCAGACCCAGCAAGGCAGCAATTGTGAAGCAAGGCACGGTATGCAAGGCAGATGGCTGACCAGGCGGTCCCACGTTCACACACAGATAAACCAGGAGAAAATGTGGAGCAAGACAGACCGAGCAACCCAGGGTCCCAGTGCTGGGAAATAATGCCTAAAGGCACCAATTGGGGATGCCTGTGGGGGTTCAGGTGATGGGAGAGACTCCCATCCTCACAGGAGAGCTCACTGGGGAGACTCACAGGGTCCTAGAACATACACAAGCCCACCCACATGGGAATCAGGACCAGAAAGGCCCAGTTTGCTTAGGGGAAGTGATGGAAGGGACTGATATCCAACAGAGAGCAGAGCAAGCACCATTGTTCCCTCTTGGACTCTTCCTGCACATAGATTGCCAAAACCCAGTGAAGTGGGTTGCCCCGCCCTGGTGAACACCTAAGGCTCTGCCCCTCATACATAACAGGCACGACAAGACAAAAGAAAAATGGCTCAAACTGAACAACAGATCAAAGCTCCAGAGCAAATACAACTGAGCGACCAAGAGATAGCCATCCTATCAGATACACAGTTCAAAACACTGGTGATCAGGATGCTCACACAATTGGTTGAATTTGGTGGCAAATTAGATGAGAAAATGAAGGCTACAATAAGTGAAATGAAGGAAAATGCATAGGGAACCAATAGTGATGGGAAGGAGACTGGGACTCAAATCAATAGAGTGGACCAGAAGGAAGAAAGAAACAACCAAACAGGAAAGAATGGAGAAATAAGACTTCAAAAAAAAAATGAGGAGAGGCTTAGGAACCTCCAGGACATCTTTAAACGTTTCAACATCCGAATCATAGGGGTACCAGGAGGAGAAGAGAAAGAGCAACAAGTGGAAAGTTATTTGAACAAATAATAAAGAAGAGCTTCCCCAATCTGGCAAAGGAAATAGACTTCCAGGAAGTCCAGGAAGCCCAGAGAGTCCCAAAGAAGTTGGACCCAAGGAGGAACACACCAAGGCACATCATAATTACATTAGCTAAGGTAAAAATGAAGGAGAGAGTCCTAGAAGCAGCAAGAGATAAGGAGACAGTCACTGACAAAGGAGTTCCCATCAGACTGTCAGCTGATTTCTCAAGAGACCTTGCAGGCAAGAAGTTGCTGGAAAGAAGTATTCCAAGTCATGGAAGGCAAGGACCTACATCCATGATTGCTCTATCCAGGAAAGCTTTCATTTAGAATGGAAGGGCAGATAAGGTGCTTTTCAGGTAAGGTCAAGTTAAAGGAGTTCATCACTACCAAGCCCTTATTTTATGAAAAGTTAAAGGAACTTATCTAAGAAAAAGAAGATAAAAAACATGTATAATAAAATGACAACAAACTCACAATTCTTAACAACCACACCTAAAAAAAAACAAAAACAAACTAAGCAATCAACTAGAACAGGAACAGAACCACAGAAATGGAGATCACATGGAGGGTTAGCAACAGGGGAGTGGGAGGAGAATGGGGAAAAGGTACAGAGGATAAGTAGCATAGATGGTAGGTAGAAAATAGACAGAGGGAGGGCAAGAATAGTATGGGAAATGTAGAAGCTAAAGAACTTATGACACATGGACATGAACTAAAGGGGAATGTGGGTGGAAGAAGGTGTGCAGAGTGGAGGGGAATGAAGGGGAGGAGATGGGAAAACTTTAATAGCATAATCAATAAAATATTTTTTTTTGAAAAGATAACTTCCTAGAAGACAAAGTTCTGGATATAGAGGATGTATATCTCCAAGGCATTTTATAAGCTTTGGCATAAAACCCACACTCCCTGTAGCTTGTGCATAACCAAAGCCCCCCAGTTCTGTTCATTCAGGGCCTCAGGCCCACTGGTTCTCTCCACCTTTCCCTTCTGGAGGCCTTCCCTTTGTCAAAACTTCACTCTCGTGGGCCAACCCCCTGCCCACCCAGGCATGGCAAAGGCCAGCCCAAAGGCCCAGATGTCTTTGTCCATCTTTTAGGTTCTGTGTCTGCATATAGCTCACATCCACCCAGGCACAAAATTTAGCCCTCTCTGTTTTTTCACAAAAATATCCACTAAGACCAAGCATTTGTGAATTCAACAGATTTTCCTGATGATTAGAGGCCCCCAAGTCTCCTTGAGAAGTTTCCTTGAGAAACACCTGCTCTTTTACCGTTTTCCTGACACCCCCACTCTGTTCCCTCTAACCCTGAATTCTTCTTCCTTTATCACACAGAGGACTTCAACCCCACCCAGGCTCCTACCCTCAGACTTGCATTCTGAAACCTTCAAAGTTGCTTCACACAGTACAAAGTCCTGTTTGTACAGCCCACCCCATCTTAAAAGGCAGTTGGGACTGTATATTAGCAAAATTTTACATTTAATGTCATCTGTAGTGTTTACTACAGTCTTGTGAGGTTGGCCTTATTATCCCCATTTTCACAGATATCAAGAGTGAGGCTTACAATTGTTCAATAACTTGTGCAAAGTCACACAGCTAAAAAGTGTGTGTGTGTGTGTGGAGCTGAGATTCAATCCTGTGGGTCTCCACTCTGATCTCTCTCCACCTTACTTCCCTTGTTGTCTGCAAAGAGGGGCTCGGGAAAGGGTCCCTGGTTGGGGGGCACCATCATTTATTTTTTTGGTGCAGGCTTCCAGGTTCTGGAGCTGTTCAGGGGGAACCCACTTCCTGCCTTCTGGGCTTTCAGGAGATGGCCGAGCCTCAGAGCAGACCCTGCTGGCTGCTTCCCACACCCTCTTTCTCCGAGAGCACAACCGGTTGGCCAGGGAATTGAAGAGACTCAACCCTCAGTGGGATGGAGAAAAGCTCTACCAGGAAGCCCGGAAAATCCTGGGAGCCTTCATGCAGGTATGGAGACCCAGCACCGCTTCCCTGCACCCTGCCCACAGCTTCCACTCTGGGCTCTGCCCTCTGCTTGTAGCAGCACCTCTGCTACCTCCTCTGCTTTACACACCTCCACTTCCCTCCCTCCTCTTTGCTGCTTCATTCCGATTGTCTCCTTATAAACCTTCCTTTTTATTTCTTTAGCTACTCTTCCCCAAAGTGATTCTCTGGATGCGGAGTATTAGACAGAGTCAATCACTCACAACTTGGTCACTCGGTGTACCTGCCCAGGTGCCATTCCAGGGTGTAAGGTTCCCTCACTCCTGGAGTGGTTACATAGTAGTTATTTTGGTTATTTTGTTCAGATTATCTTTTTACCCCAATTCTCTGCACCTAAGCCACATGTCACAAGCATAATCAACTGCTCTTGTTGGCTGGCTGATTGACTGACTAGAAAAGACATAGAAAGCTTGATATGTGTTGTTATTAAACATAAACATAATTTCAAAATAAAAACATTTGAAATAATTGTTAATTTTCAAGAACTTGTAAAAAAAAAAGTCCGTGCACCCAGCCTTCCCCAATGTGGAGATTTTGTGTAACTATGGTACAATACCAAAAGCAGGAAGTTAACATTGATACAAACCATAGTATTTATTCAGATCTTACCAGTCATAAATACAATCTTGTGTGTGTGTGTGTAGCTCTATGCAATTTTATCACACGTGTAAGATCGTGTAACCAAAACCACAATGAAGATGCTTAACTCTATCAAAACCACCAGACTCCCCACGCTACTCTTTCATAGCCATGCCCATAACTCCCCTTGCCATAACTCTACCCCCTGGCAACCACTAGTCTGTTCTCCACCTCTACAATTATGTTATTTCATGAAAGTTATGTAAATGAATGCATGCAGTATGTATCCTTTTGAGATTGGCTTTTTACGCTCAGCATACTTTCCTTGATGTTCATCCAAGTCCCTGCATCTATGAACCATTTACCCCTTTTTGTTACTGAGTAGTATTTCATGGCTTGTTTACCCATTCACCCATTGAAGGACATTAGGGTAGTACCTAGTTTGGGGCTATTATGAATAAAGCTTCTATGAACATTCATGTAGTAGTTTCTACATGAAAATAATTTTTTATTTCTCTGGGACATATGCCCAAGGATGCAATTGCTAGGTCATATGGTAAGTCCTTCTTAGTTTTTAAAAACACTGCCAAACTAGGACTTCTGGCCAAGATGGAAGTGTAGGTAGACACACTGTGCCTCCCCGCACAATCAAAATAAGGTCAGCAACAAGTTAGAAACAAGATAACAACCAGATCTGACAGAAAACTGAACTGTATGGAAGTAGGACAACCCAGGAGTTAAAATAGACACATTCATCCAGACTGGTAGGAAAGATAGAGTCAGGCAGCTGGGCAGAGAGGGATCACAGCACAAAAGTGGTGGCACCAAAAAAAGCTTCTGGGGCACATAAGGCATCCTGGGTGCAAGATGGAAGCAGACAGACCCTGGGCACACAGGCAGCTGGCAGACCCAGCAAGGCAGTGACTGTGAAGCGAGGCACTGTGCCCAAGGTGCCTGGCTGTTGGGGCAATCCCACATTCATGAGCAGATAAACCAGGAGAAATTGGGCAGTGAGACAGACCACACAACCCAGGGTCCCAGCGCCAGGAAATAGAACCTCAGCACACTGATTGAAAACACCTGTGGGGGTTGAGGCGCAGGGAGAGACTCCCAGCCTCACAGGGGAGTTCCTTGGAGAGACCCACAGGGTCCGAGAATGTGCACAAGCCCACCAACATGGGAATTAGCACCAGAAAGGCCCAGTTTGCTTGGGGGAAGCGGTGGAGGAGACTGAAATCTGACAGAGAGAGGAGCAAGTGCAATTGTTCCTCTCAGACCCCTCCCCCACATACAACGTCACAACCAAGCTACTGGGTTTCCCACCCTGGTGAACACTTAAGGCTCCACTTCTCATACATAACAGGCGCAACATGACAAAAGAAAAATGGCTCAAACTGAACAACAGATCAAAGCTCCAGAGCAAATACAACTGAGCGACTAAGAGATAGCCATCCTATCAGATATACAGTTCAAAACACTGGTGATCAGGATGCTCACACAATTGGTTGAATTTGGTGGCAAATTAGATGAGAAAATGAAGGCTACAATAAGTGAAATGAAGGAAAATGCATAGGGAACCAATAGTGATGGGAAGAAAACTGGGACTCAAATCAATAGAGTGGACCAGAAGGAAGAAAGAAACAACCAAACAGGAAAGAATGGAGAAATAAGACTTCAAAAAAAAAATGAGGAGAGGCTTAGGAACCTCCAGGACATCTTTAAACGTTTCAACATCTGAATCATAGGGGGTACCAGGAGGAGAAGAGAAAGAGCAACAAGTGGAAAGTTATTTGAACAAATAATAAAGAAGAGCTTCCCCAATCTGGCAAAGGAAATAGACTTCCAGGAAGTCCAGGAAGCCCAGAGAGTCCCAAAGAAGTTGGACCCAAGGAGGAACACACCAAGGCACATCATAATTACATTAGCCATGGTAAAAATGAAGGAGAGAGTCCTAGAAGCAGCAAGAGATAAGGAGACAGTCACTGACAAAGGAGTTCCCATCAGACTGTCAGCTGATTTCTCAAAAGAGACCTTGCAGGCAAGAAGTTGCTGGAAAGAAGTATTCCAAGTCATGGAAGGCAAGGACCTACATCCATGATTGCTCTATCCAGGAAAGCTTTCATTTAGAATGGAAGGGCAGATAAGGTGCTTCACAGATAAGGTCAAGTTAGAAGAGTTTGTCATTACCAAGACCTTATTTTATGAAAAGTTAAAGGAACTTATCAAAGAAAAAGAAGATAAAAAACATGTATAATAAAATGACAACAAACTCACAATTCTTAACAACCACACCTAAAAAAAAACAAAAACAAACTAAGCAATCACTAGAACAGGAACAGAACCACAGAAATGGAGATCACATGGAGGGTTAGCAACGGGAGTGGGAGGAGAATGGGGAAAAGGTACAGAGGATAAGTAGCATAGATGGTAGGTAGAAAATAGACAGGGGGAGGGCAAGAATAGTATGGGAAATGTAGAAGCAAAAGAACTTATGACACATGGACATGAACTAAAGGGGGGGAATGTGGGTGGGAGAGGGTTTGCAGGGTGGAGGGAAGTGAAGAGGGGGAGATGGGATGACTGTAATAGCATAATAAACAAAGTATATTTTAAAAACCTGCCAAACTATTTTCTAGGGTTGTACCACTTCATATCCCTACCAACAATGTATGGATGGTTCCGTCTCTCGGCACTCTGCTCCATATTTGGTGTTGTCACAATGTTTACCCTTTCTGACAGGTGTATAGTGACATCTCATTGTGGCTTAACTTTGCATTTCTCTAATGGCTAATCACATTGAACATCTTTTCATGTGCTTATTTGCCCTCAGTGTATCTTCTTCAATAAAATACCTGTTCATATATTCAGCTCATTTTCAGATTGGATTGTTTGTCTTTTAATCTTGAGTTTTGAGAGCTCTTTATCTATTCTAGATACAAGTCCTTTGTCAGGTATGGGGCTTTACATATTTCCTCCCAGGCCGTAGTTTTGTCTTCTCATTCTCTTCCAGGGTCTTTTGCAGAGCAAGACTTTTTCATTTCGATGAGGTCAAATTTATCATTTTTTTCCTTTCATGAATGGTGCCCTTGGTGTCAAGTTTCAGAACTCTTTCCCTGCTCACAGGTCCCCAAGATTTTTCTCCCATTTTTGTTTGCTTGTCTGTTTAAAAGTTTTATTGTTTTATGTTTTAGACTTAAGTGCATGACACTTATAATTAATTTTTGTATAAAGTGTGAGGTTCAGGCCAAGGTTCATTGTTTTGGCCTATGGATGTCTAATTGCTTCAACACCACTTATTGAAAAGGCTATCTTTCCTCTCTCAAAGTGCTTTTGTTCCTTTGTCAAAATTACTTGGACACATTTATGTGGCCCTGTGCAGTCTCCTTTCTCTCTGGTTTCAGATTGACTAAATTCTATTGATCCGTCTTCAGTTCCATCCTGTCATCTCCACCCTGTTACTGGTCTGTTTAACACGTATTTTATTTCATTTAATTTTGAGTTCCACAATTTCAGTTTGTTTTTATAATTCTACTCCTTTGTTAAGATGTTCTGTTTTTTCTTTGTTTCAGGACAACTTATGATTGATCACTGAAGCATTTTTCAGACAGCTGCTTTAAAATCTTTAACAGATAATTCCAGCAGCAGAATGAAGTCACTGTTGTCTTTTCTCATTCAAATTTTGGCTTTCATTTTGCTTGGTCTTATGAGTGATTTTTCAGTTGTATCACAGACATTTAGTTGTTATGTTAGCAGACTCTTGAGCCTATTTAAGTGTGTTATTTAAGCACGCAGTTACCGTTTAGGTTTAGCCTCTAGGTTCTGACATATTTTTGTAGGCATTAGTTCTAATGATAGTTTAGTTCCTGAGTCCCTGCAATGCTGTTCTGGTCTGCTTTATTCTTCTGGGGTTCATGAGTCATTACTGACTGGGACTTCTGGTGTTCCCAGTCAATCCCTGCTGACACTGATACTTTCCTGGCTGCCTTCTGCTGCTGAGCAACCTTCTAGGGGAGCAGAAGCCACCACTCCTGTGTCTCCTTATGCCACTGAGTGAAGAACAAAGAAACACAGGGTTTCACTGCTGCCACCACTGTAGGCAGATCAGAGCATTCGCCAGCCTGGGTTGAGGATGAAGGCCTGGGATGGCTAAGGGCTTGGCTTGTGAAGCAGGTTTGGGCTCGGTCTACTAGTTCTCTGCTCAACTTCCCTTGTCCAAGTCTTTTAAAGAAGTCATTCTGGGGGGCTTCCTTTTTATCTATTCCTTTTAGAAGTTCCAGGTTGCCATCCTATCCTATACCTAGTCTAGGGTATGTAAGGACTTTCCATGTTGTCATTGCCCACGTCCTGGGGGTCCTCAGCCAGTCCACCCCCTTTCCAGATTTCAAAGTCTTTTTACTGTTGTCTGTTGAACAATTTCCAGGGAGTTTAGTTATATTTAGCAGGGAAGATGAAGGAAAAATGAATCTATACCATCTACTTCTGGAACCAGACGCTCTATGCACTTATTTTTAACTATCAAAGAGATTTATGCATATTTCCACTTACTTCTCAAAATCTCCAGAATTCAATATTTATTTTAAAAGAATTTGGAGCCCAGAATTCTTCCTGCTGGAGATATTGATAGAAAACATCCAAAGAAATTTTAAAATGTCTACCTAGAGATTAGTTAAGTTAAGGCTGGTATTAGCTAACTCAGGCTACCATAATAAAATCTCACAGACCGGATACCTTACACAACAGAAATTTATTTTTTCACAGTCTAGAGGCTGAAAATCAAGGTGTTAACTGGTTTGGTTTCTCCTGAGGCCTCTTTCCTTGGTCTGCAAGGTGGCCACCTTCCCTCTGTGACCTCCCATGGCCTTTCCCCTGTGTCTCTTCCCCTTCTTCTTCTTCTTTTTTAAAAAGATTTTATTTCTTTGTAGGAAGAAGGGAAGGGAGGGAAAAAAAGAGTGAGAGAAACATCAAGGTGTGGTTGCCTCTCATGTGGTCCTCACTACGGACCTACCCTATAATCCAGGCATGTACCCTGACTGGCAATCAAACTAGTGACCCTTTGGTTCACAGCCTGTGCTCAGCCCACTGAACTACAGCAGCCAGGGCTCTCCCCCTTCTTATAAGGACACCAGTTCTACTGTGTCAGGACTCTACCCTTATGACCTCATTTAACCTTCATTACCTCCTTACAGGCCTAATCTCCCAACACATTAGGGGTTAGAGCTTCAACATGTGAATTTGAGGGGGACCCAATTCAATCTACAACAAGGCTTTTGGGACTACAAGAAAAAGAAACCCACTCAGGCTAGTCCACATGCTCAGGATTGGTTCAACACCATACACATGTCAACTGGGAGCTGACAAGGGTTTCTTCTGGAACCCCAGGATAGGGAGGGTAGTTGGGTCTCAACAAGGGTTAGAGGCAGAGGTGGGAAACCATCTGGAATTATAGCAGTTAGTCTCACTCTGTCCCTCCCTTCTCTCTGCTCCTCTCTTCACTTCTTCTTTGTTCTCCACTCTCTCTCTGCACATGAGCTTTCTCTGATTTTCTGCACATGGTAGAAAATGAAAACCTATGTGACCCTACCTGTCCCTTCAGATCAAGTGCCATTATGTGGATCAAGTCCACTGTGGCCAAAGGCAGGGTTCTGTCTCCTGCTCCTTCCCATAGCCCAAAGAGCAGATCGCCTGTACCAAAAATGACACCCACATAGTCTGTGCTGCTAAACAAATTAGAAGCAACACAAGAGTAAAAGAGTAGGAGAAGGGCCTGTGAGTACCATAGAATATTATACACATTTAATTATATGATTGTGAGCTAAGTAGAAATGTGACATATGTTAAGTGAAAAAGCAGAATGTAAAAGTTTGTATTCTTTCAGATTACAACTATGTAAAATGTGTATTATATAGACAAATATTAGAAGAATAGCCATCCAGTCAAGATGGAGGCATAAGTAAACACACTTTGTCTCCTCCCACAACTATAAAAGAAATTACAACTAAACTACAACACAAATATTCCCCAGAACCATCAGAAAATCAAGGTGTATGGAAAGCCAACAACCATGGGTTTAAAGAAGCCACATTCACTCAGATGGGTAGGAGGGGCAGAGATGCAGAGAGAGGTAGAGAGGCATAGAGAGGCATGTGGCCATAGAGTGGCATGAAGAGGCAGTGGAACCAGAAGTCCCATATTCACATGTGGTGGATAAAAATTGGAAGGGATGCCTTGGGAGCAAGGGATGCCCACCCCAAGACAAACCATCCAGCAGCCCAGGGCTGCAGCACCACGAAGACAAATTCCTATAACTTCTGGCTATAAAAACCAGTGGGGGTTGGGGCAGTGAAAGAAACTGCCAGATTCTGAGGACACTCCTCTTACAGGACCCACATGGACTTAGGACTTATGCAGACCCACCCCCTCTGGGATTCAGCACCAGGGCAACAGCTGGAAGGAGCAAGGACATATAAGGAGTGAGTGAAGTGACTGGAAAAGGGCGAGTACCAGGAAACAGTTTCCTTCCAGGCAAACCTCCAGAAGGCAGGCAGTGGAACTGTCACTCCCCCAACCCTCTCCCCACACAGAGCCACAAAGCAGTGAAGCAGGTTGCCATGCCATGGTGATCACCTAAGTCTTGGCCCCACACAATTTACAGGTCTGCTCTTCTACAATAGGGCACACTACTAAGACAAGGACTCAAAGCAGCTCTACCTAATACACAGAAACAAACACAGGGAGGCTGCCAAATTGAGGAGACAAAGAAATAGGGTATAAATGAAAGAACAGAATAAAACTCCAGAAAAAGAATTAAACAAAATGGAGATAACCAGCTTATCAGATGCAGAGTTCAAAACACTGGTGATCAGGATGCTCATTGAGTATGGCAACAAAATAAAAAAGACCCAGGCAGAAATGAAATTTACATTAAGTGAAATAAAAAAATATCTACAGGAGCCAGCAATGGAGGTGATGAACACAACAATCAAATCAATGGTTTGGAACATAAGGAAGAAATAAAGCATTCAATCAGAACAGCAAGAAGAAAAAAGAATTAAAAAACAAAAACAAAGATAGACTAAGAAGCCTCTGGGACATCTCTAAACATACCAACATCCAAATCATAGGGATGCTAGAAGGAGAAGAGAAAGAGCAGGAAATTGAAAACTTATTTGAAAAAATAAATGAAAGAAAACTTCCCTAATTTGATGAAGGAAATAGATATACAAGTCCAGGAACCACAGAGTTCCAAACAAGTGGGGCCCTAACAGGAACACACCAAGACACATTGTAATTAAAATGCAAAGGTTACAGGTAAACAGAGAATCTTACAAGCAGCAAGAGAAAAGCAGAGAGTTACCTACAAAGGAGTTCCCATAAGACTGTCAGCTGATTTCTCAAAAGAAACTTTGAAGGCAAGAAGGAACTGGCAAGAGGTATTCAAAGTGATGAAAGGGAGGACCTACAGCCTAGATTACTCTATCCAGCAAAGCTCTCATTTAGAATAGGAGGGCAGATAAAGTGCTTCTCAGGCATGGTTAAGCTAGAGGAGTTCATCATCACCAAGCCATTATTATATGAAATGTTAAAGGAACTTATTTAAGAAAAAGAATATTAAAACTATGAACATTAAAATGGCAACAAATTCACAACGATCAACAACTGAGTCTGAAAAAACAACCTAAGCAAACAACCAGAATAGGAACAGAATCATAGATATGGAGATCACTTGGAAGGTTATGGGCTGAGAGGGGGAAGGGAGAGAGTAGGGGGAAAAGTGCAGGGTTTAAGAAGCATAAATTGGTAGGTACAAAACCAACAGGGGAATGTTAAGAATAGTATAGGAAATGGAGAAATAAAAGAACTTATATGCATGACCCATAGACATGAACTAAGGGGGATTACTGGAGGGAATGGAAGTACTGGGTGGAGGGAGGTAAAGGGGAAAAATTGGGACAACTGTAATAGCATAATCAATAAAATATATTTTTAAATGAAAAATAACAATTAATATAATTATTGTGCTACATGGTGGCATGATTTATTATTTTTTCAAAATTTTCTTAATTTATCTTAGTTCATTGTTTTCAGTAAAACCAAAGCAGAAACTGACCTCTCCAAAGTGCAGCACTTCCTTCAGAACTGGAGACTGAATGAACCTCCCTTGGTTACCCTGTGAATCATTACTATGGTTCTTCATTCCTCTTGCCCTGGCCTGTGGCAAAAAGTTTAAAAACCCAACATGGCTATGTTGAAGTGACACACAAGGACTGTCCCTTTAGCTTCAAGGTCATAAACTTAGAGCAAAGATGACAGAGAGTACATCTCAAGTGCCAAATTGAAGTGACTGCTTAGTAGAGCCTGTGTTGAGACAAATCGTGAGAGATCAGCAGAAATAATGTCATGATCAATTAGTAATGTCTGCCAGGTCAAGGGAAAGGCAATCGGACACATGTGCTATCCATTTGCCCTCCTTGATTTTTCACTGCTCCTCCCTCTTGGCTGCAGTGCCTCTCCAACCTCATTCTGCAGAGGTTTGGGTCTTCTCACACCCTTTCCTCATGACTTGTTTCTCGTTCCAGATTATCACCTTTAGGGACTACCTACCCATTGTGCTAGGTGTGGAGATGCAGAAGTGGATCCCTCCATACCAAGGCTACAACAACTCTGTGGATCCCCGAATTTCCAATGTCTTCACCTTTGCCTTCCGCTTTGGCCACTTGGAGGTCCCCGCCACTGTGTCTCGCCTGGATGAGAACTATCAGCCATGGGGTCCAGAACCGGACCTCCCCCTGCACACCCTCTTCTTCAACACCTGGAGGATAGTCAAAGATGGTAAGTCCATTCAGGGAAGCGCTGCCACCTGGCTGCCTCACTCCGCAGCCTGCTCTTAGGAAAACCTGGCTTGGAAGTCAGGCTCCAGGCACTTTCTCTGTGACCTGGGGCAAGGCAATTCTCCTCACTGGACCTCAGTTTCCTCAGTTGTAAAATGTGGACAATAACAGTGCCTGTCTCACCAGAATATACAAAAAACTTGAAATATATGGGTAGAGCAATCTGCAATAGTTCCTGACGCACAGGGAGTGGTCAATAAATACTAGTTATTATTCTTTCCTCATCTGGCCTCTAAGATACCAGGTTTCTCCTACCTCCTTTCCCTGCATCTGACTTCTCTGACCTCTGTAGAAAAAAAACTCATGGGTTTGGTAAATAACTTGCTCTTCTTCACTCCTCTCTGGGACTTTCCACCTCCATTAGTTACTAAAGGCTGGACCCGGCTTCCCTTTACCCTCTTTCTGTTGGGTTGTGCTGAAACTGGCCTTAACTGAGGCCTGACAAGTCAGGCCCATTTTCTATAGATTTCTGCTACCACCTCCTATACTGCAATGTTCCTTAATGGAACCTGTGGAGGGGGAAGGGGCCATCTCTGAACTAAAGCTCAGAAAAAGTCCTGCAGTTTGTCTTCATGCCACTATCTCATGAATGGCCCTTTCTTTTTTTTAAAGTATGTTGTATTGATTGTGCTATTACAGTTGTCCCCATTTTTTTTCTCCCCCTTTCTCCCCCCTTTGCCCTGCACCCCCCACCCTCCTCCTGCATTTCCTTCACCTTAGTTTGTGTCCATGGGCTGTACATATAAGGTCTTTGGCTTCTCCATTTCCAATACTATTCTTAATCTGCCCCTGTCTATTTTGGACCTGCCTATTACGCTTCTTATTCCCTGTGCCATTTCCCCTCATTCTCTCCCTCCCCATTGCACTGATAACCCTCCATGGGATCTCCATTTCTGTGATTCTGTTCCTGTGCTAGTTGTTTGCTTAGTTTTTGTTTTTGTTTTTAGGTTCAGTTGTTGATAGCTGTGAGTTTGTTGTCATTTTACTGTTCAGAGTTTTGATCTTGTATTTGTTAGACAAGTCCCTCATTTCATATAATGAGGGTGTGGTGATGGTGAACTCCTTTGACTTATCTGGGAAGCACTTTAAGTGCCCTTCCATTCTAAATGATAGCTTGCTGGAAATGGCCCTTCCTTCCACCCCCAAAGTGGGCAGTATGCACTGCCCCCTCCCCCAGAACACCCTGCAAGCTGCACTGTGCTCTTCTCTCCCCAATTTTAGCCTGAGATGTTCAGCTGCTCCTACTTGCACTTGAGACATAATGTCTGGTGGAGGAAGGGATCAGCAGTGCAAGATGTTCCAGCTCTCCTCTTATCCCCAGGATGGTCTCCCTTGCAGGTGGAATTGACCCTCTGGTGCGGGGCCTGCTAGTCAATAACTCCAAGTTGATGAAGCAGAACAAAATGATGACAGGAGAGCTGCGCAACAAGCTTTTCCAGCCCACTCAGACGATCCATGGCTTTGACCTGGCTGCCATTAACATACAGCGCTGCCGGGACCACGGGATGCCTGGTGAGTGGGCCTGGGTCTCGCCTGACCTGGGGCACTTTTAGCTATTTCTGAGGGGATCACTCTCTTCTATGATCCTGAGGATCTGATCAATTCCAAAACACAAGGCAGGTGCCCCAGTTTTTAAAACTCATTTTGCTCATTTGTGAAATGGAGTCTTCCATTCTCTCTAATGCAGAGGCAAGAGAACATATCTTGGTACCATCTTGGAGCTTCCCAAGTGAAAAAGATATCACCAACTGACTTGAAAAACCAGTTTGAAAGCCCAGAAAAATTACAAAAAGGAGAATAGAGGGAAACCAATGACTATGGGGCCATATTTTTGTACCCAAGAAAGGCGATTTAACGTTTTGAGTAAGAGCCAATCTACCTGGGTTCAAATTCCACCTGTGCCATCTAGTTATGTGACCTTAGGCAACTTACTTAACTTCTCTGTTCTTCGGTTTGCATATTTGCTTAGAATAGGGCCAGGGCCCACATCACCTGCTGGCCCTCCCCAGGCTGAAGCACCACAGGTAGAAAACAATGGAACCCTCTCCCAAAAGCTGTGACTCCTATGACTCCAGACCTTCTGGGGCCATGGCGCAGGAGTGGGTATGTCTCCAAGGGGGCGGGGGCTTAGCAAGTGGTCCCCAGGATGAGACAACTTCAGTCTCTGTGTCCTAGGGTATAACTCCTGGAGAGGCTTCTGCAACCTCTCACAGCCCCAGACCCTGGCGGAGCTGGGCGCTGTGCTGAAGAACAAGATTCTGGCTAAGAAGTTTCTGGATCTCTATGGAAGCCCTAGCAACATTGACATCTGGATTGGGGCTGTCGCTGAGCCGCTGGTAGAAAGGGGCCGGGTGGGGTCTCTCTTGGCCTGCCTCATGGGGAAGCAGTTCCAGCAAGTTCGAGATGGAGACAGGCAAGTGAAACCTCCGTGGGAGAGTGGCAGGCCTTTCCCCGAGGTAGGGTTCCCACCTCCTGCGTGAGGGCTAACCCACACCTCAGCATGTTCCCAATGACCTGCCCTTTGGCAGGGTGGGGAAGGGTCAATAGCTGGGCTGTATGGCAACACTGTGCCTCTGTTTCTGCAGGTTCTGGTGGGAGAACCCTGGGGTCTTCACTGAGAAGCAGCAGGACTCTCTACGGAAAATGTCCTTCTCACGCCTTGTCTGTGACAACACCCACATCACCAAGGTCCCCCTGAACCCATTCAAAACCAACAGCTACCCCCAAGACTTCGTGGACTGCTCAGCCATTGAGAAGCTGGACCTCTCCCCCTGGGCCTCAGTGGGGAATTAGGGGCCTCCCACACCGTGCAGGAAAGCTCCCTTTGGTTCACCATGCCATTTCAAGCCAGTTCGGTGGTCAGCCCCTGAGTCATCCACACCCTGTCCCAGCCCTTCTTTCTCACCAGGTCTTGCTCACTTGCCAGATGCATACCTCCCACAAGCCCAAGGCCAGAGCCTTGGCCGTTCCATCTCTTCCACTCGAAATCCACTGCTCCCATCTCCTCTTCCTGGGGAAGTCCACGTCTGCTGTGGTGTAGACCTGCTGGGATGCCCTTCCAGTCTAGCTTGCCCGGGGTCACCTGCCCTCTCCCTGGAACAGGTCTTGGCTGAGGCTGTGGCCTTTGCATCCTTATTTCTCTTTATTTCTTCTCAGCCAGATTGCAAGTTCTTTAAACCAGGGACTTGACCTGCTTCCGAGGGTCTCCCGTGCCACCACCCAGCAAGGTGCTGGCACACAGCAAGCACTCAATAAACATCCGATGATTGACTAAAGATGTGGCAATGACACCGTTCCCTGCTGGAGGGCAGGCCCTGGAACCTCTGCACACTCGGTGTTTGCAGTCTCACCACAAAGATGTGTGCACGGTCTGCGGGGTAGCAGGGCATGGTTCAGTGGGTTTCAAAGAGTTCCCCAAGAAAAGAAGGAGGCAAGAGGGTTCCAGGAAAAGAAACAATGGCCATAGAAGGGAAAGAGAGGGGGCTTGGGAGAATGCCAGCGGATCAAACAGGGAGGAAACCCAAGCCTGGCTTCCCGACATCTAGAGTCAACTTCCCTCCTTACACCCTTCTGGGAAATGCCCTCTTCTTCTAGAGCAGATCTCAGAGCCTGGCAGGCCTCTAGGGGGCCCTTCTACAATATTCCTCATGCTGCCACCCAATACATATTCGCGCGCGTGTGTGTGTGTGTGTGTGTGTGTGTGTTTTATATGACCTTCTGGGTAAGGTCAGCCCAGCCAGGGCCTCCAGGTCCCCCAACTGGCAGGGTGGGGGTGAGGGTGGGAGGTACTTAACCATCCTGTGGGAAGAGCCCAGGAGCCAGAAGACCTGAGCTACCGCCCTGGCTCTGGTACCCACTTCTTCAAGGCCTCAGATAAGCCCCTTCACACCTCTAAGCACCCTGCTGGTCACCTGTGAACTGAAGATAAGCAGTGTTTATCCTTCTCTGGTGAGGTCCTGATGTGACCTGGGGCTCCTATGGGTACATTAGCTCTAGCGCCCTACACACTTTCCAGCTCTCAGCTGCAAGTGGCCCTCCCTAAAGGTGGGAAGGAGGGGAGGGAACCCACCTTTCAGATAGAAGGATCACACTCCAGGCAGTAGGGGAATACCTTCCTTCCCTTGTTGCAGCTCTGGCCACAGAAAGCCACGACTGAGAAGGAGTCCCCTGTGGGAGGGCCCGGGAATCACTGTGCCAGGCTACAAAGATACAGGATCCGGACGTCCCTTCCCACCGCACCTCTGCTCTTGACCTGTTGCAGGACAGCGTTTTGTCCCCTCTATTTCCCAGTACCTGACACAAGCCTGATACAGAGTGAGCATGCAGCAAATATTTACTAGAGCAATGAATGAACACACAGACTTGGTGGCCACCATTCCTGGTCTGCAGGTGCTGTGAGAGGAAGGGGAAGGAGGAGGGCCTACTCAGTTTGGCCCAGTCCCCAGGCGTCTAAGAACTGACTGCCTCCCACCTATGGATCAGCCAAAGGAAGACTCCTGGATATCCTCACACACACCCTCTGCCCCCAGTTCAGAAAACGCAGGGCCCTGGGGCACCAGCCACACTGGTTCATGTTCAGAGCCCAGAGCAAGCCTTAGGCTGAGACACCAGCGCCACTGCAGACACAGACAGAGGGATGATCCCCATCAATTCTACTTTATTATCATGGATGTCAGGTACAGAAAAATGATACAAAAGGGCCAATGTGCCCCAGTTCCTCGCCAGGCAGCTCCTGCAAATAAGCAAGAGAACAGAGTAAAGAAGAAAAAAGGGAGCCATGGATTGCCTGAGCCCAGCTCACCTGGGCCCATAACTCAACCACCACACACAGCCCAGCTGCCAATGGCCATTCCTGCAGGGGTTCCTGGTTCACCTCGCTAGCCAGGACATTGTAAAGGTGTAAGGTCCACGAGGGAAGAAACGATGTCTGACTCTGTTTCCCATGCCTAGCACAGTGCCTGGCAGCTAGTAAGTGCTCAATAGTCACAGAACTAAAGGAGGCAAATGAACCCTGTGAGCAGACATGACAGCTGTAATACCAACTGTTTTATTATTCGCAAAGAAGTAAAATCAGGCTTAGTGAGGTTGAGGAACGTACTCAAGGTCACACAGCTGGTAAGAAGCTGGACAGGGATTTGAACCCAAGCAGTCCTGCTCCTGAGCCTGTGCTAATCCCCAATCCACTCTGCTGCCTCCCATATATGTAATACTCACTGAAACAACAAACACACACTCACTAAATCACACACGTACACAACACACAGCACAGTACCCATGTTCACAGATAACACATACACTTATAATGCAATATATACACGCTACGCATGTCTGCACACGTATGAATGAATGTGTAGTCGTTCATCTTCTCAGCCGGCACCCAGAGCAGGGGTGGCTTGTCTAGGGAAGGGAAATCTGTGGCTGCAATGGCCAGCCCAGGTGTCCCCAGCCTTCACCTCAAAGAGCACCCCCTTACTCAGGCTCTAGTCTGTGCTTCTCCAGGAAGACAGGTCCAACGCAGGAAGTTTAGTGCAGTTGACGAAGTCCCGAGGGAATGTGTTGGACTTGAAGATGTTGTTCTTGGACACGGTGGTGATGCCTGTATTGTCGCAGATGATGCGAGGCAAGCAGATCTTGGACAGAGCCTGCTTCTGTTTCTTGCTAAATACACCCTTGTTCTGCCACCAAAAACTGCACGAGAACACCCACGGACACTGTGCTGTGATTGTCCTGGGCTGGGATGGCATCACCTGGCTTGAGCCACCTTCTAGATGCAAAAGGGCCACAGCAGACATAGCTCCATAGCACGGGGGTGCTCCAGGTCCTCAGGCGGCCAAGGGTTTTCAAGCAAGTGGAGCCTCACTGACCACACAGTGTAAAGCCCAGCTACCCAGATGGCTTCACCCCAGCAGCCTCTGGGGCATCACTAATGCTGGACAGGGGGCTGGGCTTATACTCATCCATGAAGCCTGTGCCCCAGCCAGAGCTGCACCCATGGGGGTGGAGAGAATCTTGGGGGTGTTTCTGATTTGTCCACCCAAAGAAGGACACCTTTTCTAATCTTCCCAAAAGTACAACACAGGTTCAGTGAGAACTAGGGATTCAGCTGTCAGAACCATGATGAAAGGACACAGGAGAAGCCAGGATGGGCCTGTTCAGTAGTGACTGACGGCACCATGGCTGCACCCTGATACACAGAGAAGTAAAGAGGGGCATTTTCACTGTCTTCCCTCCCTCCCAACCAGGAGTCCAAATCCCTCCTCACTGCACCCCCAACAGGCTCAGGGCACATTAGGGATGACCTTGAAGCTCCCTGGAACATACTGGGAAGTCACAGATTCCTTCTAGCCCTTCATTTCACCACAAAAAGTGGGGCCCCAAGACAGCTGGAACAGGCCCAGGGCCACACAGTGTGCCTGGACCCCTCCACCTGTCTCCTTACCGATCGCCATCACGGAGGTGCCTGAACTGGGTCCCAATGAGGCAGGCGAGGAGCAGCCCCACACGGCCATTGCGATTCAGGGGCTCGGCCACGCCACCGATCCAGATATCAATGTTGTTGGGTGTGCCATACTGCCCCATCAGCTTCTTTGCCAGTTTCATGTTCTTCAGCACTGTGCCCAGCTCGCCCACTGTTTGGGGCTGCGGCAGCCCACAGAAGCGTCTCCAGGCATTGTACCCTGCATGGGGGAAGAGGAGAGATGGCTGTGGGTGCATCTTAGAAAACCCCCCTTCCAATACACCAAGGTCATATACAGAGTCATGGCAGGGCGGGGAGGACACAGAAGGGATTCTCCCAGGCTATAAACCTCTGGGGAGCCCTGCAACCTTGGCCCAGACCAAGGGAACAGCTAGGTCGTTCCAGGACCCACTCTGTCTTTCCCTTGCCCTCCCACCCACAGGCACATCCTAAATGGCCATTACTCCTGTCAGGTCCAAAAATAATGACATCTCATCATCCCCCTCTGGAAATCTCAGGCCTGTGAGGGGTGAAGTGTGTGTAGGAGGCTCAGCCATGCTGGCTTACCCATGACACAGGCACAAGCTTTGAGGTTAGGCTGATTTGGGTTCTAATTCCTGCTCTGTCACTGACTTGGCTGAAGAATCTAAGCAAGCAATCCTCTGCTTATCATCAGTAAAATGCAAGTGATAATGCTCTCTTCCCCTCAGAGTTCATGTAAAATGAAGCAAAACAAAAGGATGATGGAAACTGCTTTTCAGTCTATGGGGATTAGGGGGCTTGATGTTATTATTATGACACTCCATGTTTAAGGGGTACAGCAATGTAGAGGAGGACAGAAGTTGCTGAAAATGGACCAGGCAAGCCGAGGGAGAGGTAGGTGCCTGACCTCAGACCGATTTCCTAAGAGCAAGATGCTGGGCCTGGGGGAACTCCTGGGCAGCTGGGCACACTGGAGAGAGGATAGAGGAGGGGGATCCTGCAGCCCCTCACCTGGGAGACCATGGTCCCGGCTGCGCTACATGTTTAGAGCGGGCAGGTCCAGCCCGATCCTCATGATCTGAACAAACATCTGCTCCCGGATCTCATCCACCACAATCTGGTTTTGGCGATTCAGCTTGGCAGGAGTGGCCATGAGGCCCCGGAGGATGGGGTCAATGCCTCCTGGGGGCAAGAGGAGCAAGGCTGGGGAGAGGGTCCGTCTCACTCTCAGAGCTCAGACAGGAGTCAGGCATAAGTCCAAGGTAGGGTCGGGTGGGTTGCAGAAGTGGGTTGGGCATATGCAGATCCTGGTGCCAAGGGGGCCCCAGAGGGAAGGTCCTTACTGGGCATCAAGGTCTCAGGGGATTATGCTGTCCAGATCCACAAGGTTGGGGTGTTCCCTACAACCTCTGGCCTCCTGGGTCACTGAGAGTCACAACACACAGGGAGGAGCCAGGTCCCTGTGAGTGCTCTCCGCCCATTCTTTATTGTTAGATGTAGAAGCAGAGTCAAGTGAACTGAGGCTGGCAAGTCAGGTCAGATCCCCCAAAATGGAAGGAAAGAGGATTGATTCTGTTCTAGTTCCCTGTGGCCAAGCCCACCCCTACCTCACACTCAGCTGCCTGCCCACTCTCTCCTGGCCTAGGTCCCACTCACCTTCCAGCACGACCCTCCACAAGGCAAAAAAGACCTGGCTGAGTGGAACACGGGGGTTGGGCCCCATGGGCCTGTACCGATTATCCAGGCGGAACACGAAGGGTTGGATGAGGGTGTGGCCATAACGGAAGGCGTTGGTGAAGACATTGGCAATACGAGGGTCCACAGAGTCATTGTAGGAGCGATACTTGGGCAGGTACTTCTTCATGGCTTCTGGCCCTAGCACCAGGGGCAGATAGTCCTGGTAAGTGATGATCTAAAGAAAAAGTCACTCAGACTGGCCTCTCTCCTCATCCATCCCTTCAGAGTCTTCACCTCCTCCTGGCCTGAGGGATCCTCCTCATCCATCTATGGCCAGGAAACCACCTCCTACAGCACTAGATCTAGGTCTAACAGAGTGGCACCGAGGGGCATAAACAGAGTTCTTGCCTGCTATGTGACTTTGGGCCAGTTGTTAGCCTCTCTGAGCCCCAGTTTCTCCAATGTAAATTAAGGTTAATTATGCTCCCCTCTGCACTTGAGGATTAAATAACAAAGGTCTTTGTTGGTCATTGATAGCTCCCTTGATTTTGAGTTATCCATGTCTCATTTCTCCTACTAACTTATAAGCTCCTTGAGGGCAATGCTTCTATCTCATTTCTCTTGGAATTACTCAGTGCCCAGCAAGTACCTGGCTCACAGTAGGGTTCAATCTCTGACTGTGGAAAGAGGGGAGGCAAGAAAGAAAAGGGCTACCCTAGATGACTTCCCCCAGTGAAGAGGGGATATAGAACAGTAGCAGTCTAGATTCTGGACTCCGGAATTTCCTCTGAGGCTTAAATGAATCTCAGTTAACTTCTTAGTGCAACTCAAAAACTCACCCTCAGCACCTGCAACTTTCTCCTCCTCCGGAGTTTTAAAAAGGTTGCCTCCGTGTGTGTGTGTGTGTGTGTGTGTGTGTGTGTGTGTGTGTGTGTGTGTATGAGTGTGTTTGTGTCTGTGTCTTCAGGAGAGGGTGGGGCAACTGGAGTATCAGAGTTGGAAGGGAAAATCGGGAACAATGCCCAGGGATAAATGAGGTTAAGGAGATGGGGTGAGCTTTGACAGAGCCAAAAGGAACAGGTGAGGGGGTAAGGAGCCAAGGGTGACAATGAGGTGAAGGAAAAGAGAGGTGTTTATTGAACAGCTGTCATGTACCAGGCACTTGTTGTTTTAAGGTTTGATTTATTTATTTTTAGAGAGACGGGAAGGGAGGGAGAAAATGAAAGAGAGAAGCAATGATATGAGATAGAAACACCAATCAGCCGGATAACCTAGGTGCCCAACTCGGGACTGAACTGGCAACCCAAGCATCTTCTCTGACCAGGAACTGGGAATCGAACTGGTGACCTTTTGCTTTGCAGGATGATGCCCAATGAACTGAGCCACACCAGTCAGGGATATGCACCAGGCTCTTTAGACCCAGCGATTTAACCCTCCCAATTTCATTCCCAATGGATAGAATGGTAGAAAGGAGAACAAGCCTTGGAGAGGATGGCATGCAACCCTTGTCAGGCATTTAGTAACTGTCAGGTGCTTTCCTGTATGTCCTTAATCTTTACACTATCATGAATGAAGAAACTGAGGCTCATGAGGATCAAGTTGCCCACTGTCAGACAGCCAACAGGTGGTGAAGACATGTTTGGATCCTAACTCTGCTCAAACACTGGTGTCACTGAATCTCAGGACTGCCTACCTGGATCATGGCTCCCACGATTTCCTGGGCTTCCAGGTAGATAGACAGCCCTTCTTGACTATTACATTTAATGCTGCAGTAACCATCCTTGGACATGCGGCTCTCTCCCCTATAGCCCCTTCTGGATGGATTACTAGAAGTAAGCTAGGTCAGTATATGTGGGTCATTCTTTCTGAGTTCAACAGCTATTTCCTATCATTCAAGCGATGTTTTCACAGATGCACATCAAGCATCTACTGCATGCAGGGTGCTGTGTTGGAAGTATAGAAGCAAGCAAGATGAGACAAGGCTTTGCTCTCCAAGCATATGAGTTCTAAGGAGTTATTTATATATTAGCTACCTAAATAATTATTAATTACATACTAGTTACATATTTGATAACTAGTATTTATTGAATAACTCTATTCAACCAACAAAGTAATGGTACCCCAGAAAAGTAGATGTAGATTAAGGGGTGAGGGAGTGTGTGTGTATCCATGTCCTCTTCCTCTAGGCTAAGTGTTCTGTAGCTCTTCAGAAAGAATGATGTGAGGGTCTTTCCACTGACCTGAAAGGTGAGATGACATTAGAGACACGCATGTGGTATGATCCTGTACTGTCAAAAACACAGTGACCAAACACCATCTAAATAGGACATGTTGACTTTTGGCCAAGATGGAGGCATAGGTAGACACACTGTGCCTCCTCACACAACCAAAAGAAGGACAACAACAATTTAGAAACAAAAACCAACCAGAACTGACAGCAAATTGAACTGTATGGGAGTCTGAAAGGAACCAAAGGTCGCCAGTTTGATTCCCAATTCCTGGTCAGAGAAGATGCTTGGGTTGCCAGTTCAGTCCCGATTTGGGCACCTAGGATATCCGGCTGATTGGTGTTTCTATCTCATATCATTGCTTCTCTCTTTCATTTTCTCCCTCCCTTCCCGTCTCTCTAAAAATAAATAAATCAAACCTTAAAACAACAAGTGCCTGGTACATGACAGCTGTTCAATAAACACCTCTCTTTTCCTTCACCTCATTGTCACCCTTGGCTCCTTACCCCCTCACCTGTTCCTTTTGGCATATTCATACAGACCGGCAGAAGGGGCGGAGTCGGGCAGCCAGGGTGGAGATGGTTCAAGTCAAAGTTGTGGCTGGTGGACCCAGCGAGGCAGTGGATTGTGGAGCATGGCGTAGTGTGCAAGGTAGCTGGGGGAACTGGGCGGTCCCACATTTGAGCACAGATAAACCAGGCAAAACTGGGTCGCAGGACAGACTGCATAACCCAGGGTCCCAGCTCAGGGAATAAAGCCTCAAACCACTGATTGAAAACACCTGTGAGGGTTGAGGCTGCAGTGGCAGAATCTCCCAGCCTCACAGGAGAGTTTGTTGGAGAGACCCACAGGGTTCTACAATGTACACAAACCCACCTGCATGGGAATCAGCACCAGAAGAGCCCAATTTGCTTTTGGGAAATGGGGGAAGTGACTGAAATCCGGCAGAGAGTGGAGCAAGCACCATTGTTCCCTCTCAGACCTCTGCCCCACATACAGTGTCACAACACAGCAATGTGGGTTACCCCACCCTGATGAATACCTAAGGCTCTGCCCCTCACTACGTAACAGGTGTGTCAAGACAAAAAAAATGGCCCAAAGGAAAGAACGGATCAATGCTCCAGAAAAAAATACAACTAAGTGATGAAGAGGTAGCCAACCTATCAGGTGCACAGTTCAAAACACTGGTGATCAGGATGCTCACAGAATTGGTTGAGTTGGGTTGCAAATTAGATGAAAAAATGAAGGCTGCACTAAGTGAAATAAAGGAAAATGCACAGGGAACCGATAGGGATGGGAAGGAAACGGATTCAAATCAATGGAGTGCACCAGAAGGAAGAAAGAAACAATGAAACAGAAATGAATAAAGAAATAAGAATTCAAAAAAATGAGGAGAGGCTTAGGAACCTCCAGGACATCTTTAAACATTCCAACATCTGAATTATAGGGGTCACAGAAGTAGAAAAGGAAGAACAACAAGTGGAAAAGTTATTTAAACAAATAATAAAGAACTTCCCCAAACTGGCAAAGGAAATGGACTTCTAGGAAGTCCAGGAAGCTCAGAGAGTCCCAAAGAAGTTGAACCCAAGGAGGAACACATGAAGGCACATCATAATTACATTACCCAAGATTAAAGATAAGGTGAGAATCTTAAAAGCAGCAAGAGAAAAGGAGACTGTTACCTACAGTGGAGTTCCCATAAAACTATCACTGATTTCTCAAAAGAAACCTTGCAGGCAAGAAGGGGCTGAAAGAAGTATTCCAAGTCATGAAAGGTAAGGACCTACATCCAAGTTTACTCTATCCAGCAATGCTATCACTTAGAATAGAAGGGTAGATAAAGTGCTTCCCAGACAAGGTCAAGTTAAAGGAGTTCATCATTACCAAGCCCTTATTATATGAAATGTTAAAGGGACTTATCTAAGAAAAAGATAAGAAATACGAACAGTAAAATGACAACAAACTCATAACTATCATCAACTGAACCTATAAAAAAAACTAAGCAAACAACTAGAACAGGAATAGAATCACAGAAATAAAGATCGCATGCAGGGTTATCAGCAGGGAAGGGGAGGGGAGAGAATGGGGGAAAAGATACAGGGAATAAGAAGCATAAATAGTAGGTAGAAAATAGAC